GAGGAATGATAGCAAAAACAAGCACGCACACACGCGCACACACACACACATACACACTAAGTCTTGTACTTGTACATGCTCACTTTCATAACTGGTCATGTGGATTTTCCCTTGGGAGAGGACCCCCCCACACACACACACGCACGCACGCGCGCGCGGGGTACGTGTCTGCATCCACAGTAAAATATATGAAGTGAGTGGGCGAAAGGAATCTCTTGATATGGTCTAATTTCAAGAGGTGGATGGAGTTCAAGAGATGGATGTCTTCTTCTAAAAGCGCAAGAACAAAGTCAATCTTGAGGGGTACATCATCCATGTTAGGTGTGTCTGCGCACCCCTACCCCACACACAGACACAAACGCGTGGAAAGCAAACACGTATGCACACAAGGACGAGACTAAAAATAAAGCCAGACCCAAAGCAATGAAATCAGTCACTCCATCACTCTATCCACTGATGAGGTCTGTTGGAGCGAAACAGTTGTCTGGAGGGTCTGACGATATCGAAATCTCAGCGGAATTGCCCTGACGATGGTGGTGATGTGCAAGTGGAGTTGATCGGGCAAGAGTGCATTGTGTAGTGGTGGAGTGGATCGGGCAAGAGCACATTGCGCAGTGGTGGTGGTGTAACTGATTTCTCTTCTCAACAGATACAGAACATGCCGAACCAGACAAAGAGATGGTTGAACCATTATAAAACAAAGACAGCTGTACACAATGATCAGCAGTGGCAAGCAGTGGCAAGCAGTGGGGAGCAGTGGGGAGCAGTGGCAAGCAGTGGGGAGCAGTGGCAAGCAGTGGCAAGCAGTGGGGAGCAGATGTGAGCAGACACATCACATAGTACTTACTTAAATCAAAACGAGGGAGAACATACAAGTCCTCTTTTGGCCCATCACTTCGACAGACAAGATGCTTGTGTACAAAGGTCGAGAAGACATCCATTGTACTGGACTTAATTTCCTCACAGCTAAGGTGGGCATTGCTGGGGTGCTCCAGTGCATTTTGGATCACACTGCTCAGACTTAAGTGACCGTTCAGTATCACATCCTCCATGACTCGCTCAGCTAGGTCAGATTGAGTCGAGAAAGATCGACGGGCAAACTGGATGAATTGTGGTATATACTGGCGTTGAACTACTCCCTCAATCGATGCTGTGTAAATGGTGGTAGTACTGCCACCAGGTCCTTTGCGTTCTGACACTGCAACCAGGCCATGCTGTACGGCAACCAGCAAACCTTTGCGCACCTTTATGCAGCAAATCAAAGATACACATCAACACAGCAACACATTCACTTTCTTGTTGAAAAACCCAGGCCTCATCCCGGTGGCGTCCCATAAAAAAATCACTACTGACGTGGCCAGTGAAATCTGACCTCACAAATGTAATACCTCTGAGACTATGCGGACCTTGCACTAGGTACGTGTAAGGACGTTGGGCTGCATATTGAAAGCGGCCTTCTAGTTCATTCATCCCAATCGTCCCGCTGGCTTTTGACAGCCAGACTTTGGCCGAATTAAGGCTCAAAGACCTATTTTAAATCCGAAAAATCTGGGCTTTGGAACTGTACATGGACACACGTGTGGTTCGAAAGCTATACTAATTTCATAACAGCATCATGGAAACAGGAACGGAGAAATATTATATAACCTATAGATGAAGAACACAAACTCAAAACTCTTGAGACAAGCTAACAAGTAGGGGCCATCCGTAAACACCGATATTTATTTAGAAACGAAAACTAGTCATTTTTCTCTTCAACTACTTCAACTTTTTCTCTTCAACTACCCCCCCCCCTCCCCGAGAAACGAACACATACAAACGGTACAATCATCATAGTATCGATATTTTTTTCCTTTTTTCTGGACATGCCGACACATACAAAGTGTGCATCGATATTTTTCGAGAAACGAAGAGGCGCTCAATCCCTCCCCCCAAATGACCAGTTTTTTTGTTTCTAAATAAATATCTACACAAGGCACAACAACAGAGACCAAAATGCTTTCTCGTTACACCGAGTTTCGCTAGTAACACGAAACTCGGAGTAACGAGAAAGCATTTTGGTCTCTGTTGCTGTGCCTTGTGTAGTACGCTCTGCCCTTGTTAGGGTATTGAGCACTATGTGCAGCAAGGACTTCAGACACTTTGTACTTAAATAAATATCTATATATACGGATGGCTCCTTACTCATGCTTACTTTAAGAAAAGGAAGCGAACTCCATGGCTATACTGAAGAGAAAAGGCGGGTAAGAATAGCGAAAGTATGGGTGATGAAGCCGTTCCATGGAAGAAAAGGTGCTAACGGCTTGCTGGCGTAAGAGGCAATGCATGGCTCTGGTCTCATGCTCCTTGTCATCGCCATACCCTCACACACTCCTCAACTTTACATCTTCTGAAGAGTATACATTGTGCCATGCGCTAACTAACTTATTACCAGCATCCCAACATATTGAGTGAAGACCTGTGATCCTCTAGACATTATTATTTCTAGCACAGAGGTAACATGTGTTGTCATAGAAATACCATCAACACCTAACTAATCTGCTGATCCCCAAGCTGCATAGAGTGCTCAATGTCAAAGACAGAGCTTAGTACATAGCAGACTCAGCGGAGGACGGTCAAGTTGGTTGTAACTCTGAGGTTCAAGCTGCTAGGCATCATGCTAAGCATCATCAGACAACTGACTGGTGATTGCCTAGCGGCATGAAACTCAGTGTATTTATGGATTCTCCACAGGCCTTAAAATCGTAGCCTAAATCGAGGGAGTCACTGTTACACCCAACCTGAATGTCCTCGGCTGAACCTACTATCAACAACTGACTACATAACACCAAATCATTTATAACTGCTCCTTGGCAGACTTGCACCTCATATTGCATCCTGATGATGGCAATTTGCCGAAACGTCGACAATAATACAGTGAACTGAGTTGTGAGTTTGTAGTGTCCAGAGAAAGAGCACGTGTGCTCACCGTTTCTCAGACTTTTAATATAAATAAGCGACGTGGAGATAATAATGACCTATTGTGATGTATTTGCAAATGATGATCATCACACGAAAACGTTCTTGGAAAACTCTTGACCTACCTTGCCTTGTGTGTCGGAGTAATGAGTGCGCAGTTGATTTTATTCATACATGTAGTTTTCTTTAATATAAATGGTCATTGTTCTCTGAGAATTGGTTTTGTGACATGAAGCTTTGAGAGTAAATCTCAACAATCTTATTGCCATTGCCAATTAGGTAATCTAACCACTGTAGATCTGCATGGACAAGAATCCATTTTCAAATTGCTAGACTAATATGAATACTGTACACAGCATTTAATTTCTCACCTCATTTAATTTCAATTTCGTTTCAGCAGTTAGATCTCGCAGACTGCGAGGTCCTTTGGCCAATAAATAGGATACAACTTGAGCCACAATATTTCCAAAGTGGTCAATCAGGATATTTACAGCAACTTTTTCCTTCTCAGACATGTCGAACTCAACATGTCACTTATTGGAGAACTTCACTTGCAGTTAAAAACAGATAGCCACGGAGGAACGATTGCCGACAACAATAATGCTAGTGAGTGATGGCCGAAAACAGCACTGTTTTACAGGTGCGAACTTATTTTCAAAGTATAAAACAACAATTTTAGTTCTTGTGTTTTTTTGAATAAATGCACACACGTACACGTACACGTACGTACAAGTCAATCGATCACGTCATGTCGAGGGACCTCAGCTGACGTCATTGACTCATTGCGCGATATGACGAAAGTATGCGATGACTCACTTCACTCGTAGATCTACTACGATCGTCGATCGTACAAACACCCACACACGTTTTTTTATGAAAAGAGTCGAGTTGCTTTTGTTTCTCTTCCAAAAATTAATGCAAGTCAGTTCCTGCACAACGTGTCAACAATCTCTCCAGACTGAGCAAAGAAAGCAGATTGTGCTTATAAATTGACTCAGGTGCTGGTCTGAACACTGTTTTTGGTGGAAAGTGAGTCTCGTTCAGTGCTGTCTGGTATCTGCGAAATGGCAAGCGGAGGAGGGTTTCATCCGTAAGTAAAAGCTGCTGGTACTACTACTACTTACTTTCGAATGCAATTGCTTTGTACAGTAATTGTAGGTAACTTACTGGTAATTATGAACTTCATGTACGGATGGCGGCGTGTACTCAGTTCAGTGAGCACCCGAAAAAGGGACTCGGAGATCAATATTCTTATGATAGTACAATAGTCATGCATCTCTATTCTCTATGCATCTATACGCTGTGCACACGAGTCTTGAATTACTAGAAGAGCAAATCAAAGATTTTTTTGAACCAAATGTTTTCATTCCCTTCTTGTCATGGGCTCATATAGTCCAATTTGTTCTACAAGTATTCTTATGCTATGTTCTTTATCAGGTGCGAGGTTTCTTCCTCCCTTTTGCGTTCCTGTATCATGTGGAGTGCAGACGGCTTCAGTTTTAGCCAGTCCTTTACCCTGGCAGGTGGCGGTACCTCTGCTGCATTCGCAGTGGCAGAGGCCCAAGTGTAGTGTCACCGCTGCATGATACAGGAATGCATAATATTATTTTGTCTTGTTTTAAAGCCTGTCTCAAATAGAAGCCCGTTTAGAATACAAGCCTGATTTTCAAGATGCACTGTCGGCACATAAGTCTTTAATGCGCGACATTACGGTACAGGTATGTGTACGCGGTGGTGATCTACCATGCACAGTCTACGTCCCTGCAGGACAAGGTGGATCCCAGAGCCTCACTGTCATTTGGCCAACCTCATGGTTGTGCAGTATCACACAGCCATCACTTGCCTGTTTGTACTGTAGCTTGCTACGATGCCAAGTTTTTCTTCTTCTTGGTAACCTGTAGCAGATCACAATACCGACACTCTAGTTGCTAGTTCTGTATCATGGTAAACAATGCTATGTAGGTCTGCGGTCTGCAAACAAGAGGAAGAACGTACTGAGTTGATAGCTCGCCTAAACTTGTGGGTGTCTGTCAGGGAGTGCTGTTTTTGCTACTCCACTGCTCGCTAAAACTGGGAAGGTACGATGTGAACACTACACCGTCTGATGTGATTTTTGCTTTTTGAAGAGCGTCCAAATAGTGTACAAATAGTGTACAAATAGTGTACAAATACACTGTAGTAATACTTGTAGAAGCAGCAGACACAGCAGCAGGTGCCCGCGCGTGTGAGTGTGTGCGCGCGTATGTGTGTGTGTGTGGTGTGTGTGTGTGTGTGTGTGTGTGTGTGCGCGCACGCATGTGTGTGCGCGTGTGTGTGTGTGTGTGTGTGTGTGTGTGTGTGTGTGTGTGTGTGTGTGTGTGTGTGCGTGTTTACTGGCTATGGATATTTTGCGTGCTTCAAAGTTAACTCCGAGAAGCAACTCACACTTGTAGTCTTGCTTAGCCAATGTTTGTTGACTGGTGTACTTATGTGCGTCCTGTGTGTCCTGTGTCTTTCACCATGTCTCTACAGTAGAGATGATGACAAAAGCGTGCAGTGCCGGTAAGTCATTCTACTACTAGCTGCCGCTGCTCCTGAAACTGCCCTGCTGATGACGTTGTTGCTGCTGTTACATTTGCTGGGGCTACCACTGTTGATGATTGTCTAGTATTATCTGGAGTTGGAACCATCAATTGATATGAGTCCTGGTGGTGGCAGTCAATTTTTTCTTCAGACTTTTCCTGTTTCAACTCCCTCAAACTAAGTCTTATGAACACCAGAGATATAAAAAAATTAATGCCAGTGTATCTCTGGTGTTATCTCTGGTGTTCATAAGACTTAGTTTGAGGGAGTTGAAACAGGAAAAGTCTGAAGAAAAAATTGACTGCCACCACCAGGACTTGAACCGGGGATCCTCACTTATGGCTGGCTGTGCTCTACCACCAAGCTATGATGTAGTCGTCATCCAAGGAGCAAACGTTCAATATTTTCTTTAGACTTTTCTGCGTGTGTGTGTGTGTGTACGTGTGTGTGTATGTGTGTGCGTGTGTGTATGTGTGTGTGTGCATGTGTGTGTGTGTGTGCCGGTCCATGTGATTTTCCCCTCATTTAGGTACTTTGTGAGTGGTGTTTGCAAGAGAGGTAGCAGCTGCTCATTCAGCCATGACTTCAATGCCAAACCTGATAATGTAAGTGGCTTATGGTGATTGCTACTTTGATTTCTCTTGGCGTAGGTGAAGAAAGAATAGTTTCACACTCTGGCAAGACTGTGATGATATCGAAGATTAACTCTTTCAGGAAGAAGGATGCTTTGGGAACAAGATTCAAACAGTGCCAGGGTGTTCAGTGAGGCTGCGCAAAAAAAACAATTCAGCTCGATATGAGCAAGGAGGGTGAACTGGCAAAGCAGGACATGCCATTTCTTGGATATAATCTGTGACTTGGCAGTAGCTAACCTGGGTCTAGGCTGGCACGTACTGCTGGTTAGGACTTTGCGTAGAGGCGATTTACACGACGGCAGTGCATCCCGCCGGAAAGTGAAGCATGTGATCCCGGGAGCTTGCCGTGACACGGGGAAAACGAAAATCGATTCACACCGCGCTTACCAGTTTATTCATACTACTTGAGTATGATGTTATTGATTTGTGGATCCGGAACTGTTCGTTAGGTTTTCAATGTACCGTTTTACGCCCCATACTTGATTTTTGTGGACCGGTTGTCTTTCTTTGTGGTGTGAACTGGGTATGTTCAACTTGAAGCATGATCTGGTGTCCGAGATACATGCAGTAGTGCACTGTCAAAGGAATGAACAATGACAGGCGGTGCCTTACTCCACTGCTCACTCTGCTCACTCTGCTCACTGCTCACTGCTCACTCTGCTCACTCTGCTCACTCTGCTCACTCTGCTCACTCTGCTCACTCTGCTCACTCTGCTCACTCTGCTCACTCTGCTCACTCTGCTCACTGCTCACTCTGCTCACTGCTCACTCTGCTCACTCTGCTCACTCTGCTCACTCTGCTCACTCTGCTCACTGCTCACTGCTCACTCTGCTCACTCTGCTCACTCTGCTCACTCTGCTCACTGCTCACTCTGCTCACTGCTCACTCTGCTCACTCTGCTCACTGCTCACTCTGCTCACTCTGCTCACTGCTCACTCTGCTCACTCTGCTCACTCTGCTCACTCTGCTCACTCTGCTCACTGCTCACTCTGCTCACTCTGCTCACTCTGCTCACTCTGCTCACTCTGCTCACTGCTCACTCTGCTCACTCTGCTCACTCTGCTCACTGCTCACTCTGCTCACTCTGCTCACTCTGCTCACTCTGCTCCCGTATCATAGTTTTACTGTATATTGTATGTTCTCTTCTATCCTTCTTCCTTGACGTGTGATGTTGCACTGGCCAGGTGTGTCGCTACTACCAGCATGGAGGGTGTGGCTATGGGAAGAAGTGCCGATATGACCATGTTAGACAAAAGTAAGCGCTCTGCACTTTGTAGTTGATGTGCATGCATTTGTGCTCATCTATATGCCTGCCATTCTGGCTGCCTGCTTTCTGCCAACATATCTACCTGCCTAGCTGCGTGTCTGTCTGTTTGCCTGGCTGGCTGGCTGGCTGGCTTGCTGTCTGGCTGGCTGGCTGGCTGGCTGGCTGGCTGGCTGGCTGGCTGGCTGGCTGGCTGGCTGGCTGGCTGGCTGGTACAATTAGGCATCATACTCAATCTACAGACACCATACTTCAAGGGCTTATCCAAATCGCCTGTTGAGATGTCAACACTAGTGATTGCAGTTTAGGTGATGGGATGTTGTGCTATGCTTCTTTGCCTGTGTCAGCCATGTTTTTGTCCGGGCACAGGTGGGCCCACTTTGTTTTAATTGGGTTGATATTGAGCTCCCACTCTTGAAATGTGTTCTTTGTCTCAGTCATGACGGTTTCCAAGTAAAATCTGCTCAATCTGCTCGTAGCGATGAAATTGATGTCGTCTACATGTCTCTACTCTGTCTATGGTTGTATAGGTGCACTGGTTTATCTTGTTCTAAGCTCTATCCACGTAGCGTTGGAGCACTTTGAGCATACTGGATGCATGCCTTGTAGTTTTGGATTTGTGTGACCCCCCCCCGTGACATCCAATGCTGGGTAACAGACTTGATAGTAGAGTAACTGCTGGATGGCTTTCACAGCACCACAGCAGCACAGCAGCACAGCACCACAGCAGCACTTCATCGTCTTGTTTCACTGTATTTTATTGTGCAGACCAGATACTGGCAGCGCTCAGAGAGGGTCTTCGATGTCTTCATCATCTTACTCTGGAACGCCCTCTTCAGTGTCAGCTTCCAACAGCTCAAAACCCTTGGAAACATGTAGCTGGTCCACTGGTCAGTGCAGAGATTCCTCTTTCAAGCCATGTACAAATGCCAAACCAGAACCGTATCATTCCAAGGTAGGTGATGTAGTAGCTGCCATCATCGTAATTCTAGTGCAATCTTATTTGTGCAAACTTACCCTAGATTATGCATGGAGCATCAAAGCCACAATCAGTTGACCCTCCCCCTCCCCCTCCCCCTCCCCCTCCCCACCCACGGACACATACTCTTCTACTGCAATGTACTTGAAGTAGTTCTAGATAGATACATTAGACCCTTAGGACAGTTGGATCTCTACATGTCTCTTGGATCTCTAGTATTTATTTATTTGTTTTATTTTATTCCAAGCAATACATGGCTGGGGTAGCTAATGACCACTTTGCGTTGCGATTGCAGGGTTTTTATAGCCAACCACGGCTAACAAGGAAAAGAGTATTCTCTGCATCTCCTGGATCTCTGTATTGAGAAGCCAGACAACTTTGGGAGGATGCTCGCTGCGACATTCCTACAAACTGGAAGTGGCCTATTAGGGCGTGGAACAGTCACAACATGCGTTCATCTGTCGGCTTAGTTGCTGCAGCAATTGCGGTGATACACCCAGCCTAACTCTTCGCCCTGGGCTCACCCTGACTTAACTTGCGTGTACTGGGTGAGGCTCAAGGTCAAGCAACAACGAAAAAGCTACGAAAATCGTTAGGCTTGTCAGGTTGCAGACGGCGTGAACTTCAAAGTTTCCTTCAGTACATGACACGCCTAACTGCAGGCGAGTATTAACTTCACAAGAAATGAACACTTGACAAGGAGAAGTTGACACACATTCTGCTGCATGTACTGTACTTGCTTTGATCATGCATGCGATAACTTGTCACACAGAACTCATCTTTACACCCAATGCACACATGCACTAGTTGCTCCCCGCTGTGATTTACTCTGAACGAATCTACACTACGAAATTTATTTTTGTTACCACGGCAAGTTTCGTTTGCAATCTCTGACGGACTTTCGTAATTGTTTTCGTTTCTCGAGCTCAGACCGGCAAGATCTGACGAATTGTTGTTATGCTCCACCTCTTGAGTGACACTGTATACATGCTGAAGATAATGTGTGTCTCTACGTGTGTGTGTCTCTACATGTGTGTGTGTGTCTCTATGTCTGTGTGTGTCTCTACGTGTGTGTGCGTGTGTATGTGTGTATGTGCGAGTGTGTGCTTGATTTTTTTAAATATTGAAGATGACAGTTCTGCGCAAAACTGATCACCGATCGCCAAAAGGCCAGACACCGGCTAACTGGGCTGATGCACCAGCATTTGTTCCTGTAAGTACTGAAGTACATGCATATTCTAACATTTCCCTCATGCTTCTGTGTGCTTTTTTTCTAAATCTCTATGGCAGTACATGTAGTGTGAAGTATGTTATGTGGACGACGTTGTTTGATGTGTCGACGATGGCTCTGAGAAAGCGCCCAAAGCTCTTTCATTTGGCAGTGTAGGAGTAGATATGTCGAAGTCTTATGACACAGTGAGAAGAGTGATATGTCGAAGTAAGAGTACATAACTCTGAGAGTATGCAGCGCTGATCTCCGAGCTATGGGTGATGTGTGCGGTATGCTGCCTTTTTTATTGTGTACACACACACACACACACACACACACACACACACACACACACACACACACACAACCATCCTGAAGTCGCTGAGAAAAGCGTACTTGGAAGCTGGACATGCCCACCCTTCATCAGTTGAGCTTGAATAGGCTATTGAAGTTTTTGTTCAAGTGATTTCACCAGAACCCTGTACTACTATGCACTGCATATGTCTCACACACTGCTGTTTGTGTGTATGTGTGTGTGTGTGTGTGTGTGTGTGTGTGTGTGTGTGTGTGTGTGTGTGTGTGTGTGTGTGTGTGTGTGTGTGTGTGTGTGTGTGTGTGCATGCACATGTGTGTGTTTGTTTGCACGTACATGTGTGTGTGTGTGTGTTTGTTTGTATGTGTGCACGCACGTGTGTATGTGTGCCCTATTGGGGTGTGTATGTGGCTGTGCATACTTTCTTTCTGTCTTCTAGAAGAGTACGCTGTCCAGTACCTCACATTCCGCTTCATCGTCTTCCATGTCATATAGCAATGCTGCTGCTGCCGACACACCGTCATTCTCAGAATCGGATTATTGCAGCTCTGACCGGTGGGATGCTGCTACTGACTCAGAACTTTGGGAACAGAGGCATGCCTATCAAGGTTATGCTGCGGAAACATCACTGTCAGAAGAGTCGTCTGCTGCTGCTGATTCATCCATACCACCAGAAATGTACCATTATGTGGATGATGTCACTGACAGTGTTGCCAGTGCATTGGTAAGGTCTTGCTGCTGCTGTTTGTGCTGCTGCTGTTTGTGCTGCTGCTGCTGTTTGTGCTGCTGCTGCTGTTTGTGCTGCTGCTGCTGCTGTTTGTGCTGCTGCTGCTGTTTGTGCTGCTGCTGCTGTTTGTGCTAATTGCGCTAATGGTGATGCTGCTGCTGCTAATGGTGGTGGTTCTGCTAATGGTGCTACTGCTTATGGTGGTATTGCTACTTATGGTGGCGGTGCTGCTGCTTAGGGTGGTGGTGCTGCTGCTTAGGCGCCGGTCACACATGCAGGCGGCGACACCGCTTTTGCGGCTGCCTCCAACACGCTGGCAGTGGGCGCTTTTGCGGCTCTTTTCTGCCGGCGGTCACACATGCAAAGGCTTTGGTACGCACGCAGCTTCACGGGTCCCCACAGGTGTCGTAAAACTTTTCTCTGAAAAAGACTGTAGCCTCAAAATTCCTTTCCTGCGCTGGAATGGATCGCAGAAACGCCCAGAATCGCCGACTACGTCGTGACCAGCGACTGCGGAGAGCTATGGAGATTGCCTCAATATTCATGTTGTTCAATTTCTCTTCGTTTGAATCTTGCGGAAGCTCCTTGAGCATCGGTGGACGCCTTAGTCGAGTCCCATGTCGGATGGTTGACCTCGAAATAGAGGGAGAGGAGCAGTTGCTCTTGGCAAGTCTTGGTCAGCAGTTCACTTCATGGCGAGAGATGAAAAACTAATTTTTCCAAGATCCAAGAGATCCAACAACGACAACGCCGCAAAAGTTGCACTACCGCTTTTGTGTTTCGCCACCAATTTTTTGGTTGTGGCGCTTTTGAGATTGCCGCCGTGGCGCCAGGCGCAGTATCCATGGTGATCCGGGGATATCCCAACTTTTGTGGTGCAGCTTTGGTGGTGTCGCAAAAGCGCCATGCATGTGTGACCGGCGCCTGAGGGTGGTGGTGATGCTGCTGCTTAGGGTGGTGGTGGTGCTGCTGCTTAGGGTGGTGGTGGTGCTGCTGCTTAGGGTGGTGGTGGTGCTGCTGCTTAGGGTGGTGGTGATGCTGCTGCTTAGGGTGGTGGTGATGCTGCTGCTTAGGGTGGTGGTGGTGCTGCTGCTTAGGGTGGTGGTGGTGCTGCTGCTTAGGGTGGTGGTGCTGCTTAGGGTGGTGGTGATGCTGCTGCTTAGGGTGGTGGTGATGCTGCTGCTTAGGATGGTGGTGATGCTGCTGCTTAGGGTGGCGGTGATGCTGCTTAGGGTGGTGGTGATGCTGCTGCTTAGGGTGGTGGTGATGCTGCTGCTTAGGGTGGTGGTGATGCTGCTGCTTAGGGTGGTGGTGATGCTGCTGCTTAGGGTGGTGGTGATGCTGCTGCTTATAGCGTTGTCACACGACGGTTCGTGCTCACGATTTCACGATACCATGGTTCTACGATCCACGGCAAGACACTTCACACGACGACTAGCTCTGCCGACACGGTGCACGCGAGTCAGTCACGATTTGACTGTTGCCTAGGTAATTGTAATGGAGGCGCGTGTTTTGATGGAAATAAATCTGAATATTTTTTTATTTTCATGCCTCCCGGGAAAATTCAAACACTCTTTGCTTGATGTTGGAGTAGAACAAGACTGAACAGACGACTTTGTTGCTTTGGCGTTCTTGACTGGATTTCTGGGACCATGGATTTGACAAATCCGCGTAGCTTTGCTTTATTTTTGCTGTTTGTTTTCCGTGGTCTTGGACAACTGGGTCCGGACAGGGCAATCGGCTCACAACCTACAGGGTTTGGAGTGCCTCGTCCGATTTCCCAAATCCCTTTTGGCCGTTTCATGTTGAGAAAAAGGCGTCAACGTTCCTATTTCAGCTCAGGTCTTGCGTCGACAAGTGCCCATTCACGTGGAGCGTGTAGAGATCGAACACATTTAGCACAGTTCTCTTGGATAACGACCTGCTATTTGCTGCTCGATCATGAGTTCCCCAGGAAGAGGAGGTTTTGGTCTGCTCATTGCCAGCAGCTTGGCAAATGGGAAGCAGAAGTTCTGGGAACGTGGACAGAATTTGGAGCTCGTTTTCCTGACTACGAGAATATGAAGTACATGGAGTCTTTCCGTGTTGATAAATTAACATTTACGCAACTGTACCGTATCGTGGGTGTTCACCTTGTCCGACAAGACACTGACATGAGAAGAAGTATCCCTGGAAGGAAGAGAATGGCTATGTTTTTGGAGTGGATGGCACATTCCAAAACTATGGAGCAGATTGCGACATCCTACGGCATCGGTACGTCTACAGTATCTGGAATCATTCAGGACGCTCTCGCCGCGTTCCGAGCCCTACTGCCTGTAGTGTGCCAGTTCCCGACAGAAGAAGAACTTCGTCAAACCATGGCAGATTTCGAGCACTTGTGTCATATGCCAGGCTGTGGTGGTGCGTTGGACGGAACGTTTATGAAGATCCTGAAGCCAGTACGGCATGGCGATTCATATTATTGCTACAAGCAGTACCCAGCCATTGTCGTTTTGCTTTGCGTGGATGCCAGGGGCATTATAACGTACATCAATGCTGGGCGACCCGGGTCAATGGGCGATGCCTACACGTGGAACACATCATCCCTGCTCCGGGAGATATCGAACGGTGCTCTCTTGCCCGAAGCAGCTTCCGTGGGTGTCGGAAACAATCAGGTCCGGCCGTATATTGTAGCGGATGCAGCGTTTGCATTGTCAGAGACACTGCTGAAATGCTATGACACAAATCAAGGCACACCTGAGCAGCGGAGCTTCAATTTTGCTGTGATCAGAACACGCCGTGTTGTGGAGAATGCAATAGGTCGTCTCAAGGGTAGGTGGAGTATTCTCACTCACAATTTCATCCGCGATCCTTCCCTAGCCACTGAGGTCGCCCTTGTTGCTGCAGCTCTTCACAATGTGTGTGAACGATGCAGTTGCCCCTTTGAGGATAGTTGGATTCCCCAGTCGGCACTTCAGGATCGTGTAGTACCTCCAGTAGATAATAACCAGGATAGATTTGCTCAGCCTGCGGACGACGTTCGTCGTATACTCTCCGAGTACGTGCACCAATTTGTTCAAGCAGAGTGAACGTTGTGGTGCTGGCAGACACAACCAGATGCACTTGTTGTGTCTGGCAGAACCGCATGCGATGCACAGAGAAGCAAACCAGAAATGGTAACATCAGAACACATCAAGAGCATTTCGTGAAAACGAGAGGCAAAGTATCTTTAGTGCATGTTACATGGACGAAGTGAAAAGAACGAACGAAGAGGGAGTGGGATTTCTCAACGGTTCTGTACTACAAGTAATTGAAGTACCACACAGGGAAGAGCTCTTCACAGTCAATCTTTCAGGGATTTGACAATCTCCGCCATAAATTTCATGCTCGTCAGCTGCAAAGATTGCGTATGAGCACTGCTTTGCTCCTGCATTTGCTGCAGAAGATGAGCATCTGTTTTCTGAGAATCCTTCGCAAACGTCAGCCGTCTCTCCTCCAGTGCTTCCTCATTAGTCTTTCGCTGTTCCTCAATCTCCGCTTCCACTTTCCTCCTCTCGGCATCTCGCTTATTCTCATGCTCCATCCACTGTTGCTGCATCTTCTCATCGTGCTCGAACTGTGCAGCCTGCATGTCCTTCTGCATCCTTTCCAGCGATGGCAGGATTTCTGCGTTGGCTTGACCTCGGCCAGCTCTTGGCCTCTTGCGAGGCAAGATTGCAGTTCGAGATGAAACTGGCGTGGCAGTTGCACCACTCACCGGCCCAGCAGTCCTTGCCGACACAGCGTCTTCCACACTGCTCTCATCGCCAGAAGAAGTCGGCAGAAGACCCGTCTCATCAACATCGCCACTCAGCTGCATCGTTCGTCCAAGGCGTGCAGATGTCACCAATGGAGGCAACACAGCAGACCGTGCTGGTTGGGGTGCAGGAGGCTGTGTGCTAGTGGCACAAGCGCTGGCAGCATTCGAAGCAGCAGTTGCTGTAGCTAATGGACGCGTGGGGGTTGTGGGGATCGGTACGTGTTCCCCCGGCAAGACAGACTGGCGATCAGTGGACGTGTCAATGGAAATTGTGAGGCTGTCTTGGCATTCACCTGGACCCCACTGCGGGTTCTGGAAAAATAGGCGATGGTACAGCTGAAAATTGGGCCATGCAGCAGTTGCCGCTAGAATATCGTAATTGCTTGCATCAAGACTTGTCCCTGGAATGAGGCACAACAAATGCATATGAGATGGAATCAAAGGGCAAGTACGGCTTATTATCCCTAAATATTGCATTCTGAATTGGAACAAATCACAATATATCTATTATCCAATTTGGTGTACGACGTTGTGTAAGCATGATGTAGGACAAACAATTCAGTAACATAGTATGATGCACAAACATGCCAGCAATAAATCACTTGCTTTCCTTTGCCCTGATTTTGTGAATTTACCATGACGCCTGCTGTATTTTGTTTTCAAGGGCCTTCCACAAAGTCGAAATGGCACCTGTGCATTTGTGTGTATGACCATGCACAGGTTATGACCTATGTCCACCGTATGTGTTGCTATGTTTGACATAGCTTGTTCGAGTATGTATGAGTATGTGCTATAAATATACATACGAGCTTGCAATAAATTTAGACCGTGTGAACTCACGCACCTGTTGCAGATGGAAGACGATGCGACTTATACATCTCCCTGCCCTTTTTCTTCAGACTGTCCACCTTGTTGTGCACCTCCTTGGTTGTAAATTGCTTCGTTGAGCCCACGGACAACATCCTTTCGTTCAGCCGTTTGGTTGCTTTGTCTTCTTTCGCTGCTCGCGTCATCATCACTTTATCAGTCGATTCAAGTAGGGAGCAGTAGATTTCGATAAGCATCCTTTCGGATTCGGGGCTGAATGTCCGGGTGGCCATTGTTCAGAAAGTCGGACCTGCTGCTGTTCAGGAAACGCTCAGTGAGAAGACGCGATCGCGAACACAAGCCAAACCAGTACGGGAAACACGAAATCGAAAACGAAAACGCACAGCCAGGGGGTCAGGGTGTCGCGGGCAGACCGTCGGGTCTGCGGATTCAGATTTCCCGCCATTTGATGATCGCCTTGGTGATCCGCCCGCGAGCCCGAGCAGACGTGACTTTGTCCCGTCGTGTGAAAGGCCTATAAGGGTGGTGGTGATGCTGCTGCTTAGGGTGGTGGTGGTGCTGCTGCTTAGGGTGGTGGTGGTGCTGCTGCTTAGGGTGGTGGTGCTGCTGCTTAGGGTGGTGGTGGTGCTGCTGCTTAGGGTGGTGGTGCTGCTGCTTAGGGTGGCGGTGCTGCTGCTTAGGGTGGTGGTGCTGCTGCTTAGGGTGGCGGTGCTGCTGCTTAGGGTGGCGGTGCTGCTGCTTAGGGTGGTGGTGCTGCTGCTTAGGGTGGTGGTGCTGCTGCTTAGGGTGGTGGTGCTGCTGCTTAGGGTGGCAGTGCTGCTGCTTAGGTGGTGGTGGTGCTGCTTCTTTGCTTCTCAATGGAGTTTCACGTAAAATATTCAACTAGTTTGTCCAAATGAGGCAGAAAGAACGTACGGGGGAGCGAAGCGAGGAGGTGAAAGCATTAGCACAAACTTCAGGTGCAGCTAATAAGTCTGTGGACTGAGAGGCACGCAGCAGCAGCAGCAGCAGCAGCAACAGTTCTAGAACAAAGGTGGTAAAATGCATAAGAAAGTCCGCGCTGGCGGGCTTTGGTGCTAAACCCCGCTCACACTCCGCGCTGGCGGGCTTTGGTGCTGAACCCCACACACAGAAAACAAGCAACTAAACAAACAGTAGACAGGTAGCATGACAAACAAAGCTACAAGTATTCACGGAAGCTTGCGGACAAAACTACGAAGATAGACCTTGTTATCATGACAACACTTAAGCTGTGTTCCCAACTGGCGCGTGGACACGGTACGCTTGCGGTTCATGCGTGCCCAAACGCGCGCTCAGGCTTTCACAAAAAAGAGCAATCCGAGTCGTATTTAGCGCGTGCGACACCTTCGAGTACCGGTACTAATGTTTTGACCCCGCCAGTCAAAGTGACTGGCATGTACGCTGATACGCGTCTGATACGCGCTGAAAATTCCAACATGTTGGAATTTCCATATCGGTGCGTTTCCGTACGCATGACGCCCCAAAAGCCAGCAAAAATACGCACAAACGCGTGGTTTCACGCGTACATGCGCCAGTTGTGAACACAGCTTTAGACACGAGCTCCAACCTCTTGTCGAGGGAGCGGGTTTTATCGGCCCCGGCAATCTCTAGCTTCTCCGCTAGAGAGAGGTCGCAGCGCTTCGAGATGTTCGAGTATGGTGCATCTCCCCTCACGAGCCACCACTCGATGCTGTCTGGCTTGCGTGCATTCATTCGTCTCCAAAGGTGTTTTGATAGCCGTGTTTTGTTCTCGTGCTTTTTTTGGTGGCGAATAGATTGTTTTAATGGCCGTAGAATCTAGTCTTGAATGTGCCTTCCATTAGTGCGGTGTATTCTTTGATGTTGTCGTTCACTGTCAGTTGTGCCCGGTACATGATGCTCGATGTAAGACTGTATCCATCCAAAGGAAATTTCTCTTTGACAGAGCAGCCATGTAATGGATATGTACTGTGCTTCAAAATGTATCTACAGCTTACTGGTGCACAAAGGACAAAGTTCTCAATACGTGTACTATTGTTGTCAGCATTGCTGAGCTTTATGACATATGGGTCTAGTGGCAAAAACTAACTTCAAACTGTCCGTGCTTCAAACCTTTCTGCAACATTGCACCCAAAGGCTGTATGTGTGTCCAGAGTAAACAGTGGACTTTATTGCTCGCCGTATGCGTAATCTCTCTCTCTCTCTCTCCCTCTCTCTCTCTCTCTCTCTCTCTCTCTCTCTCTCTCTCTCTCTCTCTCTCTCTCTCTCTCTCTCTCTCTCTCTCTCTCTCTCTTCTCTCTCTCTCTCTCTCACTGGTCGGAAGATCCACTTTTCTGAGGTACTGTATGTGGGGCTCCGTTTATTGAGGTGCGTTGAAATTTATTCTCTTTATCTTATTATTTCTTTTCTATAATTTCCCCATATGAGTTCCTATCAGTTGCTGTGAACACCTTGAGTGGAGAGCGCTTGCTCGAGCGTTGAACCGGGTTCTTAATCCACCATACCCAGTTCGCAAGGCTGGGCGGGGTTGTGAGCAGGCTTTCATTTCATCTTTTCTTATTATTTCTTATTATTTCTGCTTTTCATCTCATTACAAAAATTCTGCGCTTTTTCTCCATCTGCGCATAAAATCTAGACTGACAACCTGCTTGTTAAATCATGCACCTGCTTTCAGGCGTAAAAACCCTGTTGTAGAGGTCTCAGTCCTCATTTGTTAGACTTACCTGTCTTTATAAATGTAACTTACTCTCTCTCTCTCTCGATCGATCGATCGATGTACCCAAGTCTGGGAAGAAGCCATTGTGAATGTTGCTATGCCATGATTTCTCATTGTTGTTGTTGTTGTTGTTGTTGTTGTTGTTGTTGTTGTTGTTGTTGTTGTTGTTGTTGTTGTTGTTGTTGTTGTTGTTGTTGTTGTTGTTGTTGTTGTTTTCTTCAGTTGTGTCCGTATGCTCAAATGGGCAATTGTCCGTTTGGTGATGAATGTTCTTATCTGCATGGTGACATATGTGATCTTTGTCAACGGCAAGCTCTCCATCCAACTGATCTGCAACAGAGAAAGGGTAAGTGCCAATAAGTATCGTGCGCACGTGTGTGTGTGTATGTGTGGGTGGTTGTGTGTGCGTGCGTAGGTGCATGTTTGGTTGCGCATGCGAACGTGAGCATGCATGCGCCTGTGCGTGTGTGTACTTCTGGCTAGATTAACTCTTGTGTAATCAATGGTGCTTGGGAGCATTTTTCAGATCCACTCTGATTTAGCCACCCACACTAGTAGCAAGCATTACCTTCACTGGGGACAGGGGTAACTGCAGTTGGATCCCGGGATGGATACCCTGATGCCGTCCATTCTTTTTCTGCACCTTGTTCTCACCCGCTTACTGAGGTGTGGTGAGCCCATTAAGTGGGATCATTTCCAAGCCCACCCTGAGTTTGGGGATTTCAGGGGCGCCGGCCGTTGGGCGGTTCAATATCCAATCGAGTCATCTTTCCAAGGGTTTTTTCCCGAATATCTCTCCCTCACCCGGGGAGCCTCACATGACTTGTTTTGGCAGTGAGCAGGTACAAGTGTATATTGATTTTGTTTTGACAGCATATTACAAGGTGGAGGACACACTGTGCTGAAAAACAGTGCTCCTGACTACAACCATCATGGGTTGGCAGAGCCCCGGTCTTGATGACCATTGGAACAGTGTGGGGTATAGCCCCGGTTCGGACCCTCATTATACTAAGGCCCAAGGGCGTCACTCGAAGATATTAAATTTTGTTGTTACTTCTGTATTTTCCAACAACTTCTGACCATGGCATCCTTCCGTCAGCTGGTCGACAGTCATTGACAGCACCATGACACTGTCGTGAGAATGTGCTCGCTGTAGACAATATCTTCAAGTGACTCCCCTAGTATACTGAAGGTCCGAACCGGGCCCAGACCCCACACTGTTCCAATGGTCATCAAGACCGGGGCTCTGCCAACCCATGATGGTTGTAGTCAGGAGCACTGTTTTTCAGCACAGTGTATCCTCCACCTTGTAATATGCTGTCAAAACAGAATAACCATATTATCTATCAACAAGGCCATGCTTACATTATAGTGCCAGTATATCTGTGTGTATGTGTGGTTGTGTGTGTATGTGTGTGTGCGTGCGCGTGCATGCGCGTGTGCGTGCATGTGTGTGTGTGTGTGTATGTGTGTGTGTGTGTGTGTATGTGTGTGTGCATGTGTATGTGTAATGGCATCTTCTCTAGCTCATGAAAAGGAATGTGCGGAACATATAGAGAAGGAAATGGAAGTGGCGTTTGCTGAGCAAAGGTATGGATCTGGCAGTACAAGGTTTCGATCAGTACTAGCTTGGCTATGCATGTACAGTACAAGGTTTCGATCAGTACGAGCTTGGCTGTGCATGTACAGTACAAGGATTCGATCAGTACTAGTTTGGCTGTGCATGTACAGTACAAGGTTTCGATCAGTACTAGCTTGGCTATGCATGTACAGTACAAGGTTTCGATCAGTACTAGCTTGGCTATGCATGTACAGTACAAGGTTTCGATCAGTACTAGCTTGGCTATGCATGTACAGTACAAGGTTTCGATCAGTACTAGCTTGGCTATGCATGTACAGTACAAGGTTTCGATCAGTACTAGCTTGGCTGTGCATGTACAGTACAAGGTTTCGATCAGTACTAGCTTGGCTATGCATGTACAGTACAAGGTTTCGATCAGTACTAGCTTGGCTATGCATGTACAGTACAAGGTTTCGATCAGTACTAGCTTGGCTGTGCATGTACAGTACAAGGTTTCGATCAGTACTAGTTTGGCTGTGCATGTACAGTACAAGGTTTCGATCAGTACTAGTTTGGCTATGCATGTACAGTACTGTTGAGTTCCGAAGAACTGGTGGGCAGCCTCGTAGCCTCGACCATTCTTATTTTCGTGTACTATGGCCTATGCACTGTTGAGTCACCGTATATACATCGGTATGCTGTGCTTGGTGAGATCTTGGCCTGTTCGTTCTTCAGCACCTGACAGTATTGTGGTGCTCTCTGAAACCGTAGACATGTGAAGCACCTGCATGGGAGGTCCTGCATATGGACTTCTACTTCCTCAACTCTTTCCAGTCGGGATTTGAATTTTGAGTGTACAAACTCCCCACCCCACCCCTAAATAGGATTTGAATTTTGAGTGTACAAACTCCCCACCCCACCCCTAAATAGGATTTGAATGCATGTGATCTTACAGTAAGTTGCATTTACGCTACATTTTTCTCAGGTAGTGCCTGTACAGTCGTCCCTCTCTAATCCGGCACCTTTTGCAACGGCATTTTCTGCTGGATAAACAAGGGTGCTGGATTATCAAATCCTGCCCTCCAACCCGGCCCACATGTTATCATACATGTTTGTGTCGTACGTCAAAACGTAGGGATTTTTTGTGTCAAACCAAGTACTTTGTGGAATGCATGTCTATAACATACACTTGGGAATATCTTATGCACTAGCATAGGATATTCCCAAGTGTATGGTACATGTGTTGTGTATGTTACAATGGTCCCTGACAGTATGCGATGTACAACTGCTGGATTAGAAAATCGAATTATGTACAGTTTGAGTGATTTGTTGCAGAAAATCGCTGCTGGAGGCGGAATTCAAGTGCCGGATTAAAGCGTAGAAAATGAACTGAAAAAATCCGTTTTGCCAGAAAGTGTGCTGGTTTGCAAGGGTGCTGGATAAACAAGTGCCGGATTAGAGAGGGACGACTGTATTAGGATAGTTGTGTTTAGAATAGTAGGGAGGTTCTGCTATACGTGAAACGTAGAGAAATCACGTAGAGAGCAGGTGTCTGGGTTAGAGTCAGTCTACGGCTTCGCGTGTTTTGGCTCCAGATTTCTACGCGGAGATGGGGTTCTCTACGTTGTGGCACACGCAGAGAAAATGCGTACGGATTTGCTGGGTATCGATCAACTGCATGCAGAAAACTGCCAAATATGGAAGGGGAAATTCCCAGTACACATTCCACGTGACTTCTCTAGCTAGGTGAAACGTAGAGCAGAACAGCATTTCTTTACGTTACGGGAACGCGAAGAAAGTTCGCGTGATTCTTTGCGTCGCGTTCCCAAAACGTAGAGCAGAACCTCCCTGCTCCTACAATAAGTACCTTCAGAGCCAGTGCCTGCATGTATATGATCGAAACAGCTCTCTGAAGGAATCGGTGTCTGAATTTGTTATCGAGCTGCTTTGTTGGTAGTTTGAACGGGGTAAGTTGGAGAGCACATGCAATGCTATTATGCTGTTATACTTTTTAAGAACTTGCCAAAACCTACAAAGACAAATGAAATGAACCAATATCATGTGCATGTAGCGTCTCTCTCTCTCCCTCTCTCTCTCTCTCTCTCTCTCTCTCTCTCTCTCTCTCTCTCTCTCTCTCTCTCTCTCTCTCTCTCTCTCTCTCTCTCTCTCTCTCTCTCTCTCTCTCCCTCTTCCTCTTTTTGGTGCAGAGACGTATTTGACTCCTATCTGTGAGCTATGTATTTTGGAATCACTTGACTGTTTAGTGCTGCTCTGACTGTATTTCTTCTCTCTCTCATACACCCCCCCCCCCCCCCCTCTTCTCTCTCTCTCTCTACATAGAACACAAGGTGTTGCATGTGGAATCTGTCTGGACGTGGTGTGTGAAAGGCCCAACCCGGCAGAGAGATATTTTGGTCTTCTGTGTAAGTGTGTTTGTCAAATTTGTCTTGTGCACATTCACTGACAACTCACTGATCATTCACTGGTATGTTAAGCCTAGTTCACATTCGACGCAACGCCGACGGTACGGGACGTAAGGGCTTGTCGGGAGGGCTGGGGTGAGCTGTAAAATCCTGTACGATTCGTACGACACGACATGCAGCAGTCCTTGCGACGTTCAACGTCGAACGGCGCGAGTCATAAGGCATGGTCCGCGACGGGGTGACTTTCGGACCTAATTTCTCGTTTTTCGGGACTTCTTTTCAATTATTTCTCCTTCAAAGAAGCGGAATCAAGTTTACAATACCAGTTTTTCATGAAGACCAAAAAATTAGCCCTGAAAGTTGTGGCATTCAAATAAAAGCCCCAGGAAATTATAGAATAATTCGTCTGTCACGCTTCTGAACTATCCCTACTTACAATAAGTGGCATGAGATCTTATGTTGCTAAAATTCAACTCAAGTCGTGCTAGCCATTCTGTGAGTTATCATGGGAAGCGCGGTGTTCGAAATGCTAAAAATTTCCAGGTACGAATCGGGAGTAGTCGGCGCACGACCCCGTCTCCTGTTCACACTCGAATTGCAGCCGTTTTGTACGCTTGCGTCCCCGTCTACGCCCGTCTACGGTATGAAAAGTTGGATCGATCCAACTCTTCCCGTCGCTTCCCGATCTGTACGGTAGTACGGTTGCGTTCCCGTTCCTGGTGTTCACATTGGACGCCGTCAGACCGTCCCGTCGCTTCCCGTCGATCCTCACGGCGCGTCCCGTCGTGCCCCGTCGAATGTGAACTAGGCTTTATTACTATTATTAGTTCTTATTGTAGGGAATTTATCTATGTAATTGTTACCAAATGGTATTTGGAAATGTAGACACTGTAGGCTTTGAAAGAAGCATAACAGTTAATTGTGCAGTTGAGGACAGGGGAAGCCGTACATCACTGGATTCACCCAACCATAACCAGTTTTTTCACACCCCGTGCAGTCTGGAGATCAGCAAATCAAGATGCTGATCTGCAGGCTGCACGGGGTGTGACTCGCATACCACTGTAGCAGAACATTCACTGTACATTCACTGTACATTCACTGTACATTCACTGTACATTCACTGTACATTCACTGTACATTCACTGTACATTCACTGCGCTCTTCAGCTGGAAGGTACTTTGAGCACTCTTCAGTATTTACGCCTTGCCGTCTGTGGCCTTGAAATTGTAATCTTTTTGGTTCACGGGACGAATGAATGGCAACGTGACAAGATGACTTCTTGTGACGTTGCAAATTTTACAATTTTTTGAAATCTTAATTTTCAACTGGCTGGCATCTTGTTTCTACAACTGACTTGGCTCAAAGTGATGTCTTTCTTGCATGTCAGACATACAGTCATGTTGTGCCAGGATCTTTTTGACATGCCCTAGGCAGCAGAATATCACACAGTAAAGGTAGAAATTCCCACGAAAGTATAAAAACAGTGGCTGTTTCAAAATATTAAATGCTGGCTGGCCGTTTTCGACCAGACAGCCGCCTTCAACAACACCTTGTTCTGCTGCTGCTGCTGCCGCTGCTGCTGTTGCCTCTGTTGTATTGTGTGTTGTGCAGCTGAGTGCAAGCATGCGTTTTGTTTAGCTTGTATTCGAAAGTGGAGATCTGCTCCCAGAGGCAAAACCGTTGTCAGGTATGATGTCACCTTAGGTCTATGCGTTTGCTCTTAGGCTGGGTACACTGGAGAGTTTTAATACTTGAATTGAGTTTAAACCTGCCATGAACACAGGTTGACTGGAGTGTTGACATGATGTGGTGTGACGGGAACCGAAGCGATGCTCATGACGCCGATTGTTCGCATTGAATGTGAACACCAGGAACAGGAAGTTGCAAACACAACCGTACTACCGTACAAATCAGGAAGCGGCAGAATAGTTGAACCTGTTCAACTGTTCATACCGTGTGCCGGGGGGGGGGGGGGGCGAATCGACAGCATTTGGAGTGGGAACTGGTCGCTGCGGTGGTGGTGGCGTGTGCCGTGATGCGTGCCACCGCGGCAATTTTGCCATGAAAGTCACCCATGCAGAAAAAGTCACAAGCTGCAGCTGTTGCTGCACACTTTTGTTGTTCAAGTACTTCTGTTGCTGTGTACTGTTGTCTGTTGGTGATTGCATGCATGACAGCAGCAGCACTTTGGTATGTTGTTGCATGTGATGCACTGGCTGGATGTGCTGTTTTGATGTGCTGTGCTGTTTTGATGTGCTTTGCTGTTTTGATGCACTGTGCTGTTTTGATGTGCTGCGCTGGCTTGGTGCACTGTGCTGTTTTGTCGTTGGTGCAGGACATGTCCAGCTTGCCGTGTTCCATCATTCTTTGTCACGCCGGTAAGCAGCAGATAAAAAGATAGAACTTTTTTGAGTATCCTTGACGAGAAGAGAATGAAAACGTTTGATAGCTCTTGAACCCTGTCCTATTAGTTGTATGTGTAGTGTTGTGTGGATGCATGCAACACTTTGTTACCCGTGTAGTGTGTGTGTGGATGCATGCAACATTTTGTTACCCGTGTAGTGTGTGTGTGGATGCATGCAACACTTTGTTACCCGTACTGTCATTGTACCTACATGTATTGTTGTTATTTCTTGTGATTGATTCTCCTTACATGGAGCACACCCATGGTAACATTAAAAGTAGATTTTAAAAGCAGACACTAATGGCAACCCACCTTGTTTTAGCCAGACACAGGTTATCGGTGTTACTGTACATAATCATGTGTGTACGACTGTACGGACATGTTTGTGTGTGTGTGTGTGTGTGTGTGTGTGTGTGTGTGTGTTTGTGTTTGTGCACATGCTACTGCTCGTTTGTGACTGTAGAGTCGAGTATGGGTGGAAGACCCGGATGAGAAGAAGCTATTGATAGGGCAGTACAAGTCTGTTCTCAGGTATGGCTAGAGACTAGAGAGCTTGCACTCAGCTTGCACTCAGCTTGCACTCAGCTTGCACTCACAATGCTTATGCTTGGCCTATGTCTGTTGACTGCCGTCATGTGATCTTTTGGTCAAATGGTATAATGTGAGCTATGCTGGTACACAACCACGCACGTTTGTACATGCAACAAGGAAGCTTGCACTCATAGGCTCTTGATATACATTTCATGTGCGCATACTTTACTCCCCAAGATGACTGTGTACAGTGGATGGTAGAGGATGATGGTATGGGTGCTAGAGCCATCAGTACCTGCCATGCTTAATCGGTTGCGTGTACATGATGATATGGGTCACACAGCAGGTATGCTAATGCCAGGTGCTGGGTGTCTTGTCAGGCACTAGGTATCTTGTCAGGTGCTGGGTGTCTTGTCAGGTGCTGGGTGTCTTGTCAGGCACTAGGTATCTTGTCAGGTGCTGGGTATCTTGTCAGGTGCTGGGTGTCTTGTGAGACGCTATGTGTGTGTGTGTCTGATGAAGTGTAGTTAAACTGTGCGCTGTGTGTGTGCGTGTGTGTCTGATGAAGTGTACTTAAACTGTGCGTGTGTATAACATGACATGCTGTATTTTTCCCCAGTAACAAGCCATGCAAGTATTTCAAGGAAGGAAAGGCTACTTGCCCGTTTTCTGACAGTTGCTTTTATCGGCACGGTAAGTTTTTTAGATTAAAATAAATGTACATCACTACCTGTATGCTGTGGTTGTGGACGGTGTAATGGGATGTTAAATCCATCTTGTCTACCCATTACTGGGTTTACCGGGTGTTTAGCGGCCGCCATGAGTCCCTTTGGGAAAGGATACGACAATTTACTCTCTTTTTTGCCCATTCCTAGAGGGTATGTTGTTGTTGTTGGCTATGTTTTCCAGTCAGTCTGGTAGAGGGGTCCTAGCTACGACGACATGACACTCTCACTGTGCACTGGTCCCAGGCTGCTGCTGCTGCTGCCGCTGCTGCTGGTCATGGTAGCGCAGTCCTTGCACACGTTGTCAGGAAAAGAAGGGCTGCCCAAGCATCGCTGAGTATGTGTAGAAGATACACGATGGATTTATCGATAAATTTCGAATTTGTTTAGTTTCAGGGAACCGGTGGAGAATTCCAGGGATCAGCAGAGATTGAATTGGTGAATTTTGTATTCACCTGAATACCCGACAGAGTGGCCATTTCGGTTTGAGAATTTTATGTAGGAGTTGTTCATAGGCGTGCGGCGGTGCTTCTTGGGAAAACGAATGTTTCTCTTTGGCTGTTTAGTGCGATGTATCACGATTGCTTTCGAGCCAAAGTCTTCTTTTTCCTTTGCTTTTGTGTGTGCATGGGTATGTGTGTGCCAGACAGTGTTGGGCCTGTTGCCAACGGGCTCAGCTGCTTGAAGGTGTATTGTTGTACCTACCACCTTTGTTGGTTTCAGGGTTCATATACTTTCTATTTGAAGTATACATACCTGTTAACCATGGACTGCTTCTGGCTAGATTAACTCTTGTGTAATCAATGGTGCTAGTGAAGCTTATATCAGATCCACTCTGATTTAGCCACCCACACTAGTAGCAAGTATTACCTTCACTGGGGGCAGGGGTACCTGCAGTTGGATCCCGGGACGGATACCCTGATGCCGTCAATCCTTTTTCTGCACCTTGTCCTCACCCACTTACTGAGGTGTGGTGAGCCCATAAGTGGGATCATTTCAAGTCCACCCTAGTTTGGGGATTTCAGGGGGTGTCGGCCGTTGGGTGGTTCAATGGCCAATTGAGTCATCTTTCCAAGATTCATTTTGAGTCTCTCTCCCCTCTCCAGGGGAGACCCACGTGACCAGTTTTGGCAGTGAGCAAGTACAAGTACAAGTGTGTGCGTGCATGTGCATGTGTATGTGTGTATGTGCGTGCGTGCGTGCGTGTGTGTGCGTGCGTGCGTGCGCGTGTGTGTATGTGTGCTTGTGTTTGCCTTTGTACTGCTATTTTTTTTCTCTGGCTACTGGAAAATGATTAGCTAACCCTGATGGCAGCCTAGCTCTAAATACCAAGCCAGTTATCCGTCATAAAACAGATGCGGATGGACAATATTCCTCTATTGGTGGAGTCATGTAAGTAGCAATCCCATGATAAGATAGCTGCTGCTGCCCACTGCCTCTGCTACTGCTGCTACTACTGCTGAAGGTGCTGCTGAAGGTGCTGCTGAAGTTGCAGACCGTGTGGAACATAATTATGATCCCCGTCTAAGCATAAACTTTCTGCTGCATGTACCTACTACTGGCAGCTGGAGGGAAGAGAATCAATCTCTGCGACCCCCCCCCCCCCCCCCCCCAGCCCTTCCAGCCCAGTGCCGCTGCAGTAAGATAGTAGTCATGGCTAGTGAGTAAGTAGCGATGTGTTGAGGCTTGGGCCAGGATTATGGCATGAATGCATGTGTACTTTGTGTGTTTGTTGTTCATCTTCTTGCAGGTTAGCTGGTTTCTTGTTTCCTGAAGACTTGGAGTCAGATATGTGGTATTCGCTATGATGGGTCTCTCTGCTTGCTCCAGCCGGTTTCTGCTTCATGGCATGTCGTTGAGTTAGCATGAAGCTGCACTTTCCCTGCTGTTCTCAACGTGTGCAAGCCACAGAGCTATGGTCATGCGTTTAAAACAAGTCGGGTAATGCCTACACCATCAGCTGTTGTCCATGCTGCACTTTTCGCGGACGGTCTCTCTCTCTCTCTCTCACTGTCTGTCTGTCTGTCTGTCTGTCTGTCTGACCAATGGCAGTGGCAGAGTGTGACTGCCATCATTACGGAATAACTTGTCAAACTAGTCAGGAATAACTTGTCATTTGACATTTGGCAAATTGACAGAAATTAATATTAACTTGCCAATTCCATTTGTGTTTGATGTCAGCCATGCCTGGGATAAGGATGCAGAAGCACTTATCCCAGTTTTGCTCTATTTTCTTCTCACGTGTTTTTCATATCGGCATACAGTGGAACCAAATACAGTGGAATCAAACTGACTTTGTCTTCGTTCTAAGTCATGGTGCTGTAGTGTAGTTCAAAGAAGTAGGTTTCCCCTAAGCTACTGCTACACTACATTCTCTACATTCTCTGGATGGAATGACTACTAGTCAGTGAATACTTCCACCAGCATACAGTCAGACCTCGTTTATCCGGTCCTCGTATATCCGGATCCCTCGCCATCCGGAAGAAAATCGCTGGTTACCGATGTGCAGCATATGTTATGCATACAACATAACCGGACCTCGCGATCCGCATACCGGTGCATGATTTTGTGTACAAACTGGTTAAAACGTGTACAAAAATGCTTCGTCGTATCCGGTTGCATGTGGCTGGCTAGCGCTTGCAGAAGCTAGTATCAAGGAGTTGTACAAGCAAATGAGGTCCTTGACCTGCTGGGTGTGTGCGGACAGCACTCAGTTGCATGCACTTGTCATTTTTCTCGCTTGTTTACATACTGGGCACGCTAGTTGTACTGCATAGGACCTGTCTACATGTATGTATGATGTCACTGCTTTTGACATGCCACATGCATATACAGTATGTGTGTTCAGTTATCCGGTTACCTCGCCTATCCGGATGTTTTTGTGGAAAACAGATGTGTGCAGTTAAGCGAGGTCTGACTGTATTTGCACTAGTAGGTCAGTGCAGTGAGTAGTAGTGTGACAGTGTAAGAAGTATGAGATACTGGTAGGGACTTTGGGGATAATTTTAGAGGAAAGTTGGTTGCTCCCGAAAGCGAACGAAAATGGGCTAGGCCTTGCTGCTGAGTGTCGCCTCCTCCGGCGCCGAAGCATAGACACCGAGGCATAGACACCGAGGCATAGACACCGAGGTGCATAGACACCGAGGCGCATAGACATGGAGGCATAGACACCGAGGCATAGACATTGCCATGTGGAGATGGCATGTCCAGTCAAGTCTAGTCACAACTGTTTTGTTGACACCCTCTATGCTCATGAATGTGCTGCGTCCCTGTTGTTTTCTTGTCTTCAAACTCTGTTGGGGTTTTATAAATTAATAAGCTTTTGGTTCAGTGGTAGTTGTAGTAAAGCCTCTTGTGCAGGCAAAATAATTCTGGAAACCATCATACAAATCTACATGTAAGTCGCCCGAAATGTTTAAAAATCAATTCAAGGGAACACAAAAAGGTAAGCTCTAGCTGATGCAGAAGCCTAGCGTGTTTCTGGAGGACTGTTCATGGTACGGCTTTCAATCCTTCGCTGTGTTGAGTTGTGTTCCCTACTTCAGACCCTATTGATTTGAAATTTCTCACTAAAAAAATTCACGGCTCGCGTGCCACTCGGCTGGAGGCCGCATTTTCCGCATCCGCAGGAACGCCACCACCCTCTCACTAAGCCCAGCCTTTATACGCGACATTAGGGAGGTTTCGCTCTACGTAATTCCGTATGAAAATCCGTATGTCGTACGCGCCGGGGAGCGAGGGCAGCTTTCATACGTAAATCTCTCTACGGAATTCCGTAGGAAAGCTCTTTCCTACGTTGGGTCCTCCGTAGGACTTTTTGAAATATTTTTTTCGCATTTTCCGCATTTGTCCATGGCAACGTTCAAGCCGCGCGAAACACAAGGTACACGTACACGTACACACACCGTACACTACGTGCAAAATAAGATGGAAAACGCGGTTTCGGTTCATGGTGCATGCAGCCAACGCGTCTCCAAAGCAACAACGCATGTTTAGCAGTCGTGGATAAATCACGTAGAGCGAAACCCAGCAGCTCTGTTTTTTACGTATGAAAATTCCGTGCAGTTCCTACGTTATTTTCATACGTAATTCCGTAGAGCGAAACCTCCCACATTGTAAATCAAATGTGTCAGCACACAACGAGACAAAGTCAGCTGTGAACCTGACCAGGCCTTTCCTACTGTTACTTCTCATATCAGTACAATACTACATGGCCAGCTGATAAACATGACGGTACAATCACAACACAACACACCTGATCGTGTCCCCTGCTTGCCCCAATGCAGTATGCAAACAAACCTGTTACAGAGCACTTCAAGGTTCGCGCAAGGGTGCGCAGCGAATGCCACATTGATGGGCTAGAGGCTATCCATATTGCCAAAGTACAACCTGATTAGCACCATCATCCAACTTGTGTACGTTTCATCGCCATTTCACTTCCAATATGCTGTATAAATCGAGAACGTTGTGCTTCGTCACATGATCACCGTTGCAAGCTATAATAATACTAGAGATTGACAGTTCATATTAATCCAAAGTCTAGTGTGGAAAGTATGCCAGAAATTCATTCATTCTGTACCTACAATACACTCCTAAAAAAAAGAAAGAACAGAAACACCAGCAGCATTCCATATACTCCTGTACTGCAGCTGCTGTAGCCTAGTAGTAGTAGTAGTAGTAGTAGTAGTAGTAGTAGTAGTAGTAGTAGTAGTAGTAGTACAGTGTCAGTGCAGCCATACCTAGACAGTGCAGTGTCAGTGCAGCCATACCTAGACAGTGCAGTGTCAGTGCAGCCATACCTCGACAGTGTACTAGTATTGTAGTAGCAGTAGTGCTGTGCCATTGTCAATGCAGCCACTCATAGACAGTAGTACTAGTATAGTAGCAGCACTGCTGCCATGTCATACTCATAGCATCAGTGCAGTAATTCATAGACAGTAGTAGCAGTACTGCTGTGTCACTGCATGCTGTGGAACTGACAGAGTGCAGCTGCTCTGCCCCTCAAGCATCAGCAGTTATCACTTTCATCAGCTTATGACCAATTGCTGATTAGTTCCATCAATTCACCATGGCCAGTCCGGAGAAACAGTGTGACCATCAATTCACCATGGCCAGTCCAGAGAACAGTGTGACCCTCAATTCACCATGACCAGTCCAGAGAACAGTGTGACCATCAATTCACCATGACCAGTCCGGTGAACAGTAAGACCATGAGTTCACCATGACCAGTCCGGTGAACAGCACGAATACAGTAGCACTGAACAGGACATGACGACTACGGCGAGCAGCCTGCTGTGCCACTGATTGAGTAAAACGGACAAGTATGTGTGTGAGCTTGGAACTGAAGCACTTCCGTCTTGGCTATGGGAGTTATTCTATATGTGCTTTCAAAGTGGGATCACGATGGAGAAAATCTGCCGATGTAATAGTACACGTCCTCATCGTCTTCATCAGCATTATCACTGTTGCTGTTGCTGGTAGTGTTGCTGGTGTTGCTGGTGGTGTTGCTGTTGCTAGTGGTGGTGTTGCCAAGACTGTCACTGATATGCTCTTTTAGATCTTGCATCTGCTCCAGAGCAAAATCTTCAGCCAGAACATGTTCTTTTTCACCTAGAAAATGGAACTCCTCCACAGTGACCCAGCCATCCTGTGGAACAACACCAGCATGCGTATACCCGTGCATAACCACACGCACACACACACACGTCCGAATTTGCCCCGCACAAACAACGCGCGAACAGACTCACATGTCCCGCACGCATGCACACACACGTTAGTTCTTCCCTTTCTAAAATAACACACTTGGTGATTTCAACAGCCCGTAGACATGATGCTAGGCTGCTGGGGTATTAAAACAGACAATATACTAGCCTGCTGAGGGGTTGAAACATACATTGTACTAGCCTGCTGAGGTGTTGATAGAGAACATGATGAGGAGAGAGAGTGATCTGCTTACCTGGCATCGAATACACACAAAGTTGCTATCACTGCGATGGAAAGCAACACCAGGCGTGCCACTCTCAACGCTTGAAGGAATGAAGTCATCCACATCTGTCACCACATCCAGCAAGTCTCCAATGCCATGCAGACGTACAGGTATGGAGTCAAAGCTTGTCTTCACTGCATACTGGGCAGCAGCAACAGATTATAGCAGCAACATACATGTACGAATAGAACATCAGTCAAGTGTCAGAGTGTGTGTGTGTGTGGGGGGGGGGGGCTGCAAGCTCCAACTTTCAGATCAGTCAACTTCTTCTACAAGCAGTGTCAAAGTCGCAATATCTCAGTTCGTATTTTGAGGTTGTTGGCAAAAAAAATAATCTCAATTTAACTTTCGGACAAAAAAGGCGTTCCAGCCATTTCATTTGTGGTTTACGTGGAATGAAGAAAATTCAATCTCTTATCACATGATATTCATTGGAACGATGCAAACGGGAAAAGTCTGAAGAAAAAATGTCTAATCACATGTAAGGTAGTTCTATGCAATCTGCACTGAACCACTGAACTGCAGCACATCAGTGTAGAATGCATGTAATCTGCACTGAACTGCAGCACATCAGTGTAGAATGCATGTAATCTGCACTGAACTGCAGCACATCAGTGTAGAATGCATGTAATCTGCACTGAACTGCAGCACATCAGTGTAGAATGCATGTAATCTGCACTGAACTGCAGCACATCAGTGTAGAATGCATGTAATCTGCACTGAACTGCAGCACATCAGTGTAGAATGCATGTAATCTGCACTGAACTGCAGCACATCAGTGTAGAATGCATGTAATCTGCACTGAACTGCAGCACATCAGTGTAGAATGCATGTAATCTGCACTGAACTGCAGCACATCAGTGTAGAATGCATGTAATCTGCACTGAACTGCAGCACATCAGTGTAGAATGCATGTAATCTGCACTGAACTGCAGCACATCAGTGTAGAATGCATGTAATCTGCACTGAACTGCAGCACATCAGTGTAGAATGCATGTAATCTGCACTGAACTGCAGCACATCAGTGTAGAATGCATGTAATCTGCACTGAACTGCAGCACATCAGTGTAGAATGCATGTAATCTGCACTGAACTGCAGCACATCAGTGTAGAATGCATGTAATCTGCACTGAACTGCAGCACATCAGTGTAGAATGCATGTAATCTGCACTGAACTGCAGCACATCAGTGTAGAATGCATGTAATCTGCACTGAACTGCAGCACATCAGTGTAGAATGCATGTAATCTGCACTGAACTGCAGCACGTCATCAGTGTAGAATGCATGTAATCTGCACTGAACTGCAGCACATCAGTGTAGAATGCATGTAATCTGCACTGAACTGCAGCACATCAGTGTAGAATGCATGTAATCTGCACTGAACTGCAGCACATGAGTGTATGTTAGAATGCACACTGAGTGTATGTTAGAATGCACACTGAGTGTATGTTAGAAGGCACACTGAGTGTATGTTAGAATGCACACTGAGTGTATGTTAGAGCGCACACTGACTGAGTATTTGAGAACATTGCATCAACTCACCCTATCACATAGCGCTTGTTGTAGCCGTATGATAGATTTAACTGTCATGTTAGCCCAGTCAACTTCTGCAATATCCTTTGTGATTTTCTTTGCTGGAAAACATGCACACACACATGCATATACCAGTGCGTGCATACACACCATGAATGCACTTGGTGCTGCGACCAGGATCCAAAATTTCCCTTTTTCTTTGTCTCGCCAAACTGTTGACTAATCCTACCACAGCATTTCTGCCAGTCAAGAGTACAACTTTTACGGTATTTCTTTTCTAGGCCATGACTGTACATAACTGTACATAACTGTGTGTGTAACTGCATGCCTACGTTACACAAGGCGTTAGAAATAAATGCAGCGTGAGCTACTTTTAGGTGCACAGACAGTCTTCACATCTTCACACGTCAATCTAACAGACCTAGCGGCATGCTGAGCCTGACTGCAGGTTGTCAGTGGCCCAAGTCACAAGTATTGAGTCTTTAGGTGCCATTGCTCTGAACTCACACCAAGCCAAAGACGAGGTAGGTTGGCGATACAACATTCGTATTGAGGAAAATGACGAGGGGAGAGATGAGAGAGTGAGAGAGAGAGAGAGAGAAAGAGAGAGAGAGAGAAAGAAAGATAGAGAGAGAGAAAGAGAGAGAGAGAGAGAGAGAGAGAGAGAGAGAGAGAGAGAGAAAGAGAGAGAGAGAAAGAAAGATAGAGAGAGAGAGAAAGAGAGAGAGAGAGAGAGAGAGAGAGAGAGAGAGAGCAATAGACACGGACGTGGCTTCGGTTATATTGCATACACAACTACACATGCCAACAAATAATGATAGTAAAGTATTCACGAGAGTCCTCATTTACCCCACGTCGATCCTGATTGTTGTTGTGGACGGGCGTTCTCCAAATATTCATCATAATTCTCCAGACACTTGACAAGCTGCAACGTAACAAGAACAGTTACAAACAACACTCCATGTCATTGTTACGCCAATTCAACTCTCAGCAGAGTAGAACTACTTATGCATACATATACAATCACATGTCAACCACCATGTAAGTTAGCACCAGCAGCTAGTACAACCATATGCCGTGTACCGTGTGCCGTGCGGTTAGATTAAACAACAGCGGGGACACTATGCACCATTGCCACAAACCATTCTCAACCGAGATGCTCTCAGATACACCACCATCAACTCGAACAGCAGCCTGCATGCCGGAATGAAAACCATCAATAAGCTGAATGAGTGACCCAGGCACACCACAAACCTCAAGAGCCAAAACAGCAGCACAGAGCATGACACCAAGTCATAAGCCTTGAGTGACCCAGGCACACAGGCACACCAAGTCATAAGCCTTGAGTGACCCGGGCACACCAAGTCATAAGCCTTGCGCAGATCGACGAATACGAGCAAGGCTTTACAACGATGCTTGACTGCCTTCTCAACCACCTGTCGAACGCAACAGATGGCATCTGTACAGGATTACCCATGCCGAAACGGTGAAAACCAAACTAGCTTTCAGGGAGGTGTGCCCCAGCGAGAGGCTGCAGCCGGTCCTGGAGAGCATGTGCTAGAAGCTTTCCGACAAACTCCAACAGGGCAATTCCACTCCAGTTGTCACACTTGCTCAAGTCACCGTTGCGGGAATTTGGACACGCATAGCATCTTTCCACTCTTCAGGAAGTACAGCTGATGCTGACCAACTGCCAACATGCACAGAAGAGTTCATGCAGGTGTGGCCGAAGAACAGAAACGCCGTCACACACACGCGCGCGCGCGCGTGTGCACGCACACACACACACACACACACACACACACACACACACACACACACACACACACAAACACACACACACATGATAATCTCTCAGCACAGGGTACATACCATATCAGAGCCAAGTGTTGCCAGTTGCTGGGATAATTCAGTAACATCGGTATCTTGCTCAACCTACAAGTAGATGACATGACACATGCATCATGCATACAACACAGCACAGCCCAGCACAGCACAGCCCAGCCCAGCCCAGCCCAGCACAGCCCAGCCCAGCCCAGCCCAGCCCAGCCCAGCCCAGCCCAGCCCAGCCCAGCCCAGCCCAGCCCAGCACAGTATATCAGTGCAGTTGGATTAGTGTTCAGACCAGTACTGTGCAAAGCGCCTCAGCTTACAGCCAGTGAAGGAAAATGGCAGAGTGCAACTACTGTAAGGTCACATGGTCAAAGAATCCGTGTGTACTAGGGTCCCACATGGCAATGCACAGTGCGCACTAGGGTCCCACATGGCAATGCACGGTGTCACATGTGTAATAGGGTCCCACATGGCAATGCACGGTGTCACGTGTGTAATAGGGTCCCACATGGCAATGCACCAGTTGTCTGGAGAGCTTGCCGCTGCTTGAAGGTGGGCACAATGCAAGTGCCGCTCAGTCTACGGAGAGGGCTTGCTAGACTGTGCCACCTCCAAAACACCGTGACAGAAGGGTGGTGTGTGTGTGTGGGGGGGGGGGGGGGGGGGGTGCTCTCCTGGCAATCAACGTACTTGTGTCCTACCAGGTTGCCAGATATGCTTGTGCAGACATACATTGCAGGTACATGGTGGGTGCAGCAATAGAATACTAAATTGCAGGGTAGAATGTACTTCAAGTACTAAGGACTGGAGAAAGATCGTCTACAGTGCAACATGCTCATTGCAGTACTGTATTCACACACACATGCACAAATGCACACGCACACACACACACACTTGTACTTGCTCACTGCCAAAACTGGTCACGTGGGTATCACCGGGAGAGGGAAGAGAGACTCAAAAGGAATACACACACACACACACGCACACACACACACGCACACACACACACACGCACACACACACACACACACACCCTATTTTCATACCGCACATGATTCTTGCATCAAGATTGGTCCAATATCGAATCTACATCAGAAACACCGGTATTCACACAAGCATGGGAAGTCAAAGAGAGCAGTCTACAGCAGCAGCAACAACAGCAACAGCAGCAGCAGCAGCCGTCTACAAGCAATGCCCTCACAAACTACCCCGTAAGAAAAAAAAATCTGCATGAACAGCAATCAGAGAAGAGGCTGATCATGTCAATCAGCTCTGTCAACATATGCAATGCAGGCAAGCCAGCAAACCTGGCTCCATGCCCTCACACATACTTTCGCTTAGAGACTTGTAATAGTGTAACTCCAGACACAGGGTCACCAGCCATGATAGTGTGAGCAAGTGGTGCTGCACCTCTCCAGCGAGGTAGTAAGGATGGGTGCACATTCACACATGGCCTGCACAACAACACAACAATACATACCAGGCATGTAAGCACATAATATCTACACAGTCCATTGCCCGGAGGATGTACCCAGTGTGCTGACAGTGCTCAACACCGTGGAGGCAGAGCGTAATACAGAACAGAACAACAAGGACAATCAAGGCTTGTTTGCTGCCGCAGCAAACAACCCTTGATTGTCCTTGTTGTTCTGTTCTGTACACAGTCCATTAAAAAATCCAACCGACTGTGCTAGAACCAGCACCACTGATACTGTGTGTAACACATGCATCCACTTACTTTGGGAAGAGATCAAGGAAATAGTCAGGGAGAAGAGCTCCAAACGACACTACTGCTGCCGTGTCAAACCGATCCACGATGCTATGAAAGAGACACATACAGAAGTACACAAGGCACACTTTGACTACATGTACCTTGTCATAGGCATGTATGTGTCAAACACACCTTGAACACCACGTTGAATTTATACACTATGTAGGTGTATGTGAACAATTCAACACACTTCAATGTACTTCAACACACTTCAATGTACTTCAATGTACTTCAACACACTTCAATGTACTTCAATGTACTTCAACACACTTCAATGTACTTCAGTACACTGCATCAGAGAAGAATTACAGGGCATGCATTCTACTCTACTTACAGGAAACCACAAGCAAACCTGTGCACAATGACTGATGTGAACTAACTCAGCAACACAACAGCAACTTACTGAGATGCCAGAGGTGGCCATGCATGCTGAATAAGATTATTCTCTTGAGCGTACTTTTGAACAGCAGATGCACGTTCTTTCTTTTTCTATAGCAAGCAAAGATAGGAGGCAAGAAGACTACAGAATCATGCCAGTGTAATCTATGACCTGTAGCAGGGGCCAGCAGTAGATAAGAACACATGCTAAACGTGTACCCCCCCCCCCCCCACAAACACACATACACGCACGCAAACACTTGTACTTGTTGCTCACTGTCAAAACTGGTCACGTGGGTCTCCCCGGGAGAGGGGAGAGAGACTCAAAAGGAATCTTGGAAAGATGACTCAATTGGCTATTGAACCGCCCAACGGCCGACACCCCCTGAAATCCCCAAAACTCTGGGTGGACTTGAAAATGATCCCACTTATGGGCTCACCACACCTCAGTAAGTGGGTGAGGACAAGGTGCAGAAAAAGGATTGACGGCATCAGGGTATCCGTCCCGGGATCCAACTGCAGTTACCCCTGCCCCCAGTGAAGGTAATACTTGCTACTAGTGTGGGTGGCTAAATCAGAGTGGATCTGATACAAGCTTCACTAGCATCATGATTACACAAGAGTTAATCTAGACACACACACACACACACACACACACACACACACACACACACACACACACACACACACACACACACACACACACACACACACACACACACACACACACACACACACACACACACACACACACACACACACACACACACACACACACACACACACACACACACACACACACACACACACACACACACACACACACACACACACACACACACACACACACACACACACACACACACACACACACACACACACACACACACACACACACACACACACACACACACACACACACACACACACACACACACACACACACACACACACACACACACACACACACACACACACACACACACACACACACACACACACACACACACACACACACACACACACATACACACACACACACACACACACACACACACACACACATGGGCACCGGCAAACAGAAAACACAGTACTGTAGTGCAATTCTACAATGTAGTGGTGGTTACTTGTACTTCGAAGTACGTTTATCACCAACAGCAAGGCTGTATCAAGAGTATAGGTTATGTACTCTTGGCTGTATGCAAAGGGAACGGCACCTTTTCGAAACAGTTTGACAGCAACAACAAATGGTCAACTCACAGCCATCCTCATCAGCACGGATCGCTGAATTAGAATAAGCGTAGTGAAAGGAGGCTGACATGTTGAAGTTTGTTCTGAGGCCAGAGTCGATCAAACAAATCCATGCCGGCTTTGTGTTGGTCATTTGCCTTCGAGTTCCTCAGCTTTTTGTTTCAAAATGTGGTGTATCAGAGGTGGCTAAATGGAAGAGTTTGTGGTCCACTTGGAGTTTACCCGGAGTTCTGAAAAGTTCTAGATGCTATCGCTCCGCTCTTTTGGCTGGGAGCGGTTTTCCCGCTATGCTTCTACCCACAGTCAACTGGGAACTTGTGGCCAGGCACAAGGGGTACATGGATGCAGCTAGCTAATGGGGCTTTCAGCACTTGTGCAAGTAGTTGACAGACTTATCCCCTCACTCCCACTGTTAGGTGAACACCAAGAGAAAAAGAAGTGAATTTGAGCTCTCAAACTGTACACTTAGATTCTTTTCACTCTCAACTTTCTTTTTCACTGCTTTCACACCATTGCGACAATGTAATCACTTTTTCACCCTTGCTGCTATTGTAGTTTTTGTAACCTCCAATCATGACTTTGTAGCTTTGTAGCATATATAGTATTGTTTATTCACCTGTAAGTCACCGTCCAATGGAGGTTCACTGATGACCATCCAAAGAGAAAAGTTAATGAATCACATTTTTATACATTTTTGCATTTCATGATTGTTACATGGTATTACGTTGGCATCATTTGTTCTATTTATCGCATTGTTAAAACTCCTTTCTCCAAAACGCCTCTTTGAATTAGAGCCCGTTCTTATTTCTGGCCACCGTTCCGACGAGGTGCCATACCCTCCACATGTATGCGAACAGTATACAGCCCTCACCCTTGGCAAGTTGACAACTTCAATTCCGCCAATCGGACTATCTGAGAACTTGCTAAACAGCAAAACAACAACAAGAACGAGAACAACAACAACAACAACAACAACAACAACAACAACAACAACAACAACAACAACAACAACAACAACAACAACAACAACAACAGCAGCAGCAGCAGCAGCAGCAGCAGCAACAAGAACAACAATCTCTTATTGGCCACTGGCTATCGTGAGAATAAAGATTTGAAACAATGACACATACAATATTTCCCCGGTTAGAAGTCACACTTGATTATAAGTCGCACCCCCATTTTCAGGGTTCAGTGAAACTGTTTTTACTGTTTTTTCTTCTATATTCACATACCGTATGTCCGCACCTTTAAAGCCATGGCAGTATATTCGATTATAAAGCCAGTCTCAGTTATAAAGCTATGGGCTTCATAAATGAAATGACATTTGAAGTATATTTTGCAAAAATGAAGGAATAAGTACAATGCTAGAAAACTTACAGCCCAGCAGGAAGGGTGAACAAGTAGATTTAGATTGAAATTTCTGTGTGGACTTTGACTTTTATGGCATGGCGTAGTGGGTGAGTCATTCTGCATCTAAAATATCTAGGAAAGCAGCGGTGTTTCGAATATAAGGCCATGGCTTTAAAGGCGCTGACATATGGTAAGTAGATTGTCCCACTCGATTGTAAGTCACACCCTCTTCTTTGCCCGAGAAGTTACGTGTGAAAAGGTGCGACTTATATTCGGAAAAAAACACGGTATACTTATCGGGTATATACATGTGTAATATACGCAAGCTTGAAAGGAGAAAACAAAGCGTTTCTGCTGTAATTCTGAGTTTCACGGTTTTACAAATCATCAGACAGCGGAAAAAACCCTGTGAAACTTAGAGTCACAGCAGAAAGGCTTTGTTTCCTTCTTTCAAGTTTGCGTACTACATGTAGACTCTGCACCAAGGACTACAATAGGGGAGCACTGTCCCAAGCTACCACACCTCTCCCCGGGTGTGTTCAGGCACTTCAGGGTGGATCTGATACAGAGAGTAGGCGATTACGTCATACGTTGAGCGGATGCTTTGCCAAAGTAGCAGCACAGCAATGCACTAGCAACTCACGCTGCATATATAGCACCGCCTATAGGCGTTTCCACAGACCCTCTACCATGACATTATTCCCTCTACCATGACATCATTCCCTCTACCATAACATCATTCCCTCTACCATGACATTATTCCCTCTACCATGACATCATTCCCTCTACCATGACATTATTCCCTCTACCATGACATCATTCCCTCTACCATGACATTATTCCCTCTACCATGACAATAGAGAGGTTCCGCACTACGTAAAGTTGAGCAACTTTACGTTAGTGGGCGGGAAAAACCCGTGAATTCGCGAGTTTGCACTCCACTTACGGAAAGTTGTCTACGTAGAGTACGTAGATAGGGCTCTGATAACGTAGCTGGTCCGTAAGTGGATTGGGGTACAAATTTATGACTCTCTCCCCAGGTCGATCTGGTCGTACACTGCCACGTTCGGAGTTGCCAAGGGCAGCTACGTGATTTGAAAACTCCGTATGGCGGAACCCAGATCGGCATGCAGTTTACGTAAGACTTTCCGTAGATCGACTACGGTTTTTAGTTTTTACTAACGTAATTACGTTATGCGGAACCTCTCTATTATTCCCTCTACCATGACATTATTCCCTCTACCATGACATCATTCCCTCTACCATGACATCATTCCCTCTACCATGACATTATTCCCTCTACCATGACATTATTCCCTCTACCATGACACATTATTCCCTCTACCATGACATCATTCCCTCTACCATGACATTATTCCCTCTACCATGACATTATTCCCTCTACCATGACATTATTCGCGTAACCTCCTCTATAAGCTTCACTAGCACCATTGATTTTTAATCTAGCTAGAAGCAGTCCATTGGTCAACAGGTTTGTATACTTTGAATAGAAAGTACACGGGCCCTGAAACCAACATAGGTGTTGTTGTTGTTGTATTCTTATGATTAGATTGCACGTGCAACATTACACTTTCAAGCAGCCAATCCTGATGGCAAGAGACCACTATCTGGCATACCGTAAAGTCTTGTATAAAAGCCGCGGCTTCTGTGACTTTCTTGGTGAAATTTTGCAGGCTTCTATATGAGACAGGCTTCTATACAAGACAGGTATTTCTATGTATGTCGACACTAAAACCAGAATTATGTGTGATTTGATGGGCCCAAAATTGCGGCTTCTATTCGAGGGTGGCTTCTATTCAAGTGCGGCTTTTATACAAGACTTTACGGTAATTGCACCCCCAATACATACACACGCATACACACACACACACATATACACACGCACGCACATAGTACACACACACATGACATCATTATCTTTCGTGAGAGATTGTAACAAGGCCAAAACAAAAAATAGGCTTGTTTCCGGTCGGCAACCCCTCAAAAAGGAGACTCGGTCGGCCGGAATGAAACTTTTTTTGGATACTTTTTTGGTTTCTCAATCGTTGTGGTATTGATAGACAAGAGCACCTACACATGTACAGTGTACATATATATCATGGCAAGGATCAATGTCAGAGTTGACTGACTCACTGTTCTTGTACAGCATGTGGTGTATTCCTGTTTTCGTACATCCTGAGAAATCAAGCAAACAGTTCGAGTCCTTCCAGCTCCGTTATTCTAGCTCGTATCGACCCCGGAAGTTTTCGAGCAGACAGCTGAGAGTCTCTGCTACCTTGCAGGTGTTTCGATTGTGGAATTCGGTTGAGATTTGACTGAGTTATGACTCGTTGAGTGCACTTGCACACATGGCATTGCCACCGTTTGTATGCATTTGGGACCAAAAAAAGTTTCAGAATTTGGGAAAAAGTGGCCCGGTCGGGCGACCGGAAACAAGGTCATTATTTGTTTTGGCCTAACATCTTGTCCATGATTTCGAGGTGGTGCCTGTTCTGCAAACATTTCATGTGTAGTATACTCAGTGAAAGTGATCAACATGACTGTAGACTGTAGTATCCGTGCACCCATGGCATGTACATGTTCATGAACACTATTGTATGCACACTCGAAGTACTCCCCCCAACCAATACACAACATGACAGAATGGCAGGAGTACGATCTGCGTAACAGCCAGTATATCAGTTTGCATGGTACCAATTGAAATTTCCCCTCCGAGTCACCAGTATCCTGTATTCTTACCAGTACATGTATTAGATCTCAGCAGTACCAATATCAAACAAAATTTATCATGATTATACTACTACTGAGTGCTGTACTAGTAAAAGGTGACCGTACTACACTACAACGAGTACAGTTTCTTGAGCACGCAGAGACAAGGATGGACAACCAACGGTTCTCACATTCAGGGACATGTATAGTGAACATGACTGTGTCACAATTTAATCTCGTCTAATGTCACAACATTCCCATCAATATCACGTTCTCAAGTCGGAAATAATTTTACCTTCGCTCCAAAAGCTTTTTCAAGCACACGAGTGCAAAGTCGTCAGTCCCTAAGAATAGTGTTCGGCACACTTTGGCCATGGCAGATACTAGTAGATCTACGTGGACAGCACATGTGGAGTTCAGGGATTGTCCAAATCACTCGTTATATCAAGCTAATTATTTGTCACACTCTCTCAGTCTCAGTCTTATGAATATCTGTAATGATATTGATTTTCAGCATCTTTCAAATTCAAGATTGATCCTCATCTCAAAAGACAAAAAAATGATGCAGTTTGAAATCTTGAATCTTGTTGACGAGCATGCAGTCGAGCACGTGCCAGATGCAGAGAAAATTTATTATTATTGAACACGACACATGTACGTGCGCGCTTGTGACATCATGTTCGTGAACTTCGTGTGGGTGATATGTGCACCGCGAATTTTAAACTTTTACTCAGCACAATCATACTTCTACTTGCTTGCTTTTCTCTTGTTCTCTTTATCTTCTTGCTTTTGGTCTTGCGTTCTAGCCGCGGTGTTGGTTCAAACTTTAACTGGTCTGGTTTGCAAGAGCTTCGCGTGCAATTCCCAATACAAACACCCCTCTCCTCCCCGTGTGGCATAGTCAGCTTCTTTCCTGGCAAATACTTGAACAATGTTTGGAACATTATTTGACAAGCAAGGAGGAAAGCATTATTTTTACTGCTGTCAGCACGCGAGCAGTGGCAAATAGCTCAAGCTGTCTTCTGGAGCTGTGGCACTAGGCTTGTGGGCCTTTGTATTTGCCCATAACGGAGAGACTCGCGGAATACGTGATGTGCTGACGACCTCTGTTCTACTGCTCAAGGTAAATTAAAATTTATTGACGTTGAGTGAGGACAAGTGTGGACCATGTGTATGGCCAACCAGCAGTGGTGCTCACCGGCCTTCCCTTCCTGCCCTCGAAATAGGCCTTTATTAAATTATCAATGAAATACTGTAGTCCCTGGACTCTTGAAGGCACTGTACATGTACTTGAAACTATTTGAATATTTTCACTTTGCTACATATTCATACCGGTACTACGGAAGTACACTAACAACAGGGCCAATTACCTATCGGTATCCGTTGACGGACAGCGCTTCCTCGAGCTCCAATAACAGGCATCACGCTAGAGACCTGTATGTCAAACACTGCAGCCTGGTCACCTCTACGCAGTGTAACAAGACATATGCACAGACAGTCCTCGTCACTCCAAACAGCAAGCATATCCTCTCTGGCGCGACATATCCTGACAGTATGACCAAAATCAAAGCATGCCACTGTTGCATCATGACAGTGGCGCTGCAGGGCCTGCACTGACCATTTGTCATAGCAGAACAGCAAGTTTGACTGATCCTCCCAGATCGATGAGACTATACAAATCGGGATTTGTTTAATACCTTTTGGACTCTAGCAAAGCATTGCTGCTGGTGAAATTCGAGTCACTTTGGAGAGGATACTGTATGACCAGTAATGTCAATGAGCATTTCTAACCAACTTTCATGCCATGGAATGTCTCGGTACTCCTTGTCAGTTTTGTGCTAGGTTGTGCACGTCTGTTGAAAAATCTGGTTTAGTTGGTGGACTCGATCGAATAACTTGTGCCCACAATTTCCATGTCATTTGAAGTCGTTCTATGGAAAACGATATGTATATGTACAGTCATTCGCCAGGTTTGAGACAGAATTCGTTAAAATTTCACCTCGCTTTCCGTCATCTGGTAGGTAAAATTTGTCTATTTCGGGAAAACGTGGAACACACCCATGTACTGGGTGCCGTGTGGACGGTAATGGAGATGTTCACCATCTTGCAGTGCATGGTTCAGAAAATATTAGCCATACACTGATACCTCAGTTGTCCTGACACCAAAGTCACTTCGGTCTACCGGGCATTCTTTGGGAAACTTAAGTGGAAATATTACTACTCTTTCGTCACTTTTGTGTAACTAGTGACGTCATAATATGCTTTACATGTACATGTATATCTGGCCATTCCCCTCAATTGTGTTACTCAGATGTACAGCCACATTTCAAAGTTACAGGCAGTGCTTGGTTCCGGACCACCCTGGATAAACGAGGTGTGAGTGTAACTCATTCCTGTTGGGGCGCTTGAATTTTGGTAATTTTGTGATGCAGTCCATTGCAGTCTGCACATGATGGCTATTGCCTTCCAGGATGTAGGCATGGTTTTGTGTGGTGGTGATGTGACTCGGGTGGTGATGTGACTCGGGTGGTGATGTGACTCGGGTGGTGATTTCACTCATAGTTATGGTTTGTTTTTAGCTTTGCCATGTGCTCGTCGTATGTTGTACCAGCGCTTTAGTACTTTGTGTCCCATATTTCAGTCGTTTCAAAGTTGTTGTTGGGGGGGGGGGGGGGGGGATTTCGAGGCGTGCCCCTATTCCAAGGTGTAGCCGGGCCGTAAGTTGAGCAATGAATCATTTTGCATGGTTGCTGTAGACCCCAAAGGAAGCATACTTTGCAACATTTGTTCAGTATTTCGGTGGCACGGGGATGTACCATGGGAGGCACATTGAATTACACGGGGAAAAATCACGACTGTTGGCGTGAGACTAGGCTGGAGGCTGAGTTTTCCGCATCTATATCCGTAGGAATGCCACCAGCCTCTAGGATCAAGGTGCCGGTGCAGCTCCTAAAGTGGTGGGAACTACACAGGTATAGAAACTATACAGTAAAGTCAGTAAAAGAATAACACATACAGGATTTCAGACACTGTTACTCGGTTCTTTCTACGTGTACTAGAACTAAGTTTCACCATTCATCTCATTATCCTTAGCTCCAAGCACAAATCAATACCTGATTACCAGTCATTATCACCTTCTTAGTATATGTAGTTGTCCGTCGTGTAGTTCTACATGTACATATGCGTGTGATATCGTTTGTAGTGATACATTAAATATGATGATGAAAATGATGAAATATAAAGAGTACGCTATGTCCACAGTACAGACTGTACTAAGAAGGTGATAATGACTGGTATGACTGTACGAAGAAGGTGATAATGACTGGCATTGACTTGTGCTTGTAGCTGAGGATAGTGAGATGTATTGTGAAACTTAGTTCTAGTACACGTAGAAAGAACCGAGTACCAGTGCATGAAATCCTGTATGTGCTATTCTTTTACTGGACCTTTAGTGCCTTTGCAGCACAGTTCAATGTACCTCCCATGGTACATTCCCGTCCCACCGAAATACCTATCAAATGTTGCAAAGTATGTTTCCTTTGGGGTCTACAACAACCTTGCAAAGTGAACGTTGCTCAACTTACGGCCCGGCTACACGTTCGAACAAGGGTACGCCTCAAAATACCCCCACCCCCAAAAAACCAACAACAACAACTGTGTACACCTCAACAATTGAAATGACTGAAGTATGGGACACAGGGTAAGTGCTGGTACAACATACGACGAGCACATGACAAAGCTATGAACAAACTATAATTATGAGTCAAATCACCACCTCAGTCACATCACCACCACGCAAAACCCATGCCTACATCCTGGATGGCAATAGCCATCATGTGCAGATGTCAATGGTCTGCGGCATCACAAAATTGCCAAAATTCGAGTACCCAACAGGAATGAGTTACACTCACACCTCGTTTATCCAGGGTGGTCCGGGACCGAGCACTGCCCGTAACTTTGAAATGTCTGTAACTCTGAGTCACATACATTTGAGGGGAATGGCCAGATCACTAGAGAGGTTCCGCACTACGTAAGTGGGCTGGAAAACCTGTGAATTCGCGAGTTGTCACTCCACTTACGGAAAGTTGTCTACGTAGGGTACGTACTTGGAACTCTACTAACGGAGGTGCTCCGTAAGTGGATTTAGGACTATCTCCCTAGTCCGTACACTGTCGCGTTTGGAGTTGCCAAGGGCAGCTACGTGATTCGAAAACTACGTATGGTGGAACACGGATCCGCATGCAGTGTATGTATGACTTTTCGTAGATCAATTACGTTTTTACTTCGAAGTACATATACTTTGAAGTGCTAACGTAATTAGTATAGTACTTATTACGTTTCTAATTATGTTGTGCGGAACCTCTCTACTAGGCCGACGAAAGAGTAGTAATTTTTCCACTTAAAGTTTCCCAAAGAGTGCCCGGTAGACCGAAGTGCCCGCGACTTTGGTGTCAGGACAACTGAGGTATCAGTGTATGGCTAATATTTTCTGAACCATGGACTGCAAGATGATGAACATCTCCATTACCGTCCACATGGCACCCAGTACATGGGTGTGTTCCACGTTTTCCTGAAAATAGATCAATTTTACCTACCCGATGACGGAAAGCACTTCCTCAAGCTCCAACAACAGGCACCACACCAGACGCCTGTATGCCAAACCTTGCAGCCTGGTCACCTCTATGCAGTCTAACAAGACATCTGCACAAACATACCATGTCACTCAAAATACAATAATTATATCCTCTCTGAAGGGACTCGAATTTCACCAGCAGCGATGCTTTGCTGGAGTCCCAAAGGTATTGAACAAATCCCGATTTGTATGATCTCATTGATCTGGTAGGATCAGTCAAACTTGCTGTTCTGCTATGACAAATGGTTGGTGCAGGCCCTGCAGCGCCACTGTCATGACACAAGAGTGTCATGCTTTGACTTCGGTTACACTGTCAGAATTTGTCGCTCAAGAGAGGATATGCTTGCTGTTTGGAGTGACAAGGACTGTCTGTGCATATGTTTTGTTAGACTGCATAGAGGTGACCAGGCTGCAGTTTTAGGCATACAGGTCTCTAGCGTGATGTCTGTTATTGGAGCTTGAGGAAGGGCTGTCCGTCAACGGATACCGATAGGTAATTGGCCCTGTTGTTAGTAGTATGTGGCAAAGTGAAAATATTCAAATATGTCTATTTCAAGTAAACGTGCAATAGTTTTTGGACAGCATGTCCCAGGTGGTAACAGAGACAGTCCACCACCTTGTAGTGTACGGTTCAGAAAGATACGAGTCCTCACTCCTTCCTGTTGGGGTGCTTGAAGTTGATCTATTTTGTTACGGATGTAATTCATTGGCATCTGGACATGATGGGTATTGCCATGGATTGGTGTGGTGGCAGTGTGATTCGGGTGAGGCAATGCTTGCATAGTGATGTTGTGTTCTTAGTTCTATTATGTATGTTGCACTAGCGCTTGCCTTCTGTCCTAACAATTTTTTTGTGGGGGGGGGGGGGCATGGCTACATTTTTGCCACTCTCATCTCCATCTTTCTTCTTCTCCTTCTCGACATCATACTCCATTTCACGACTTCCGTGTTTTCCTGGTTAGAAGTTGACCTTTTATGACCTACAGAAATAAATTTAAAAGAAGGTAGTCGACTTGCAACTGGAGTTACTGGCAAACAGCTTTTGATCATATTGATATTGAACCGGTGAATCGAGACCCCACGTAGTGGGATAGATTTATCACGGGTAAAATACGGTGCTCTCGTCTTCATCTTCCTCATCTACAGAGACAGACAGACAGACAAACAGAGAGGGGGAGGGGAGGGGGCAGAAACAGAACGAGAAAAAAACTTAAAGTCATTTGTGCCAGCCTGGTGGCAATCTGATTATCCAAACTTCGCATACCGTAATCTAGCGTCTATAAGATCATGGTCCTATATTCGAATATTAGACCACCTCCGTGAATGAAAGTCAGATGTGTACACTGTACACCGATCTCCCTCCCGATGCACATGCTACCATGTGATATGTGTGGAGCATGCATGCACGCCGTGTGCCGTACTTAAATGTTGATGCGATGTTGTGGTGCATGTGTACATGGCAACTCTTGGCTCCTTTCCAAGTACAGTGCAACTTGGGTTTAGCGGACCCTGCATCAAGTGGAATCCTGTCCGTACCGGACAAATTTTCACGCACGGATGGGCTGCCATAGAAAACTGACCACAACAAGCGGAATACTGTCGAACGTGGAAAGCGGAACAGATTTCATGCACAGGTGAGCACAGATCGTTTCAAAACTGACATTGAATTGCTAGTTGAACGAACTGTTGTGATTGTGAATTTGTTTGTAGGATATGTTTATATTGGGTGTGTGATGCAGTGGGGGGGGGGGGGGGGGCATAATATCATGCGAAAAAGGGAGAAGAGAAGAGGTTTTTGGCAGAAGTTGTTTACTGTTTGGCGTTTGGAACTTATAAAAGAAAACTTTTCTTTCAGATCCCGAGACAATACTGCCACTCCTTAGTGCTTACACATAATGTATCTCCAGGCATTCACGATCTCTTGAGGCCATCAAGCTATGGTGTCACTGAAGTTCTATAACTGGGAGCAACTTGAACCACAATCATAAATCTGTTCTGCAGCAATGAAACAAATTTACTGCTGAAAATCTTCTGCTTACTGCATGCATTCACTGCCTCTTGAAGCCATCAACTGGAATAAACCATGTCTTTGCTATCAGCAGCAAACTGAGCAAGAAACCATAGAAACTTTAGACTTTGAAGATTGTTTGTGGACTAGTGCAACAATGCATTCCATCTTGGTTCCTCTGTATCTCAAATGGAAACATACCCATTGCCATTGGTATTCATTCAAGTATTCAATGCCTGATTGTGTTTCCCGTGTCCTTTTCTGAAAGTGAATCCGGAGCTGAGATGACCAGGAGCAGCATTCTTGACAAAGGCACACCAGGGTTCTAGCCTGGGGGGGGGGGGGAGGAGGGGGGAGCGCCCTCCTCTGACTGAGCCCCCCCCCCCTCCCCTGTGAAAAAGTCGCACCCGTCCTCCTTTGTCGATTTTTGTGGGTTTTTTTCATGTCATTCAATGAAAATGCAGTCCATAGTCACTAGAGGGTTCATAAAGGCACATTTGTCTGGGATGAAGGGTTCACCACCGTACGTGGCATTTGGCATGGCACGACAATATTTGGAAAATGGAAAATGGGTTACGAGGTAACTGTTTCCCCTGCCCCCCGACCCCACTATTTTGACCTGGCTTGAACCCTGCACACTCAAGTAGCTACTGAAATATGATATTCATAAGGTTGAGGGAGTTGAAAATGGGAAAAGTCTGAAGATAAAATTGACTGTCTCCACCAGGACTCGAATCAGGGACCCTCACTTATGTCCAGCGATGCTCTACCACAAAGAAGTAACTGTTTGTGATAAGAAACAATGAAGCCTCAACTGAAAAGACTTAGTATTGATAAATATACTTGATTTAGAATTGCGATCAACAGAACGAGCTGAACCGACATTTTCACAAAGGCTTTTATTGTATTCAA